GTCACATCAACATTACTTCTTGTTAAAAGAACACAATCATTTTGCACCTACAACTGATGCTTTAAAATGAACCTGATGTGTACAGTAACTCCTGGAAATCTCAATGCCTTGGCATCCTGTCAACCAGCTTTGCAGCCCACAGTGTTTGAGAGTAAATAATAGACGAACCTGATCCATACCAGGAAATCCACTGAGATGCAGAGGCTGTCGTTGCTGTTTGAAATAAAAAAGCACTTCAAACCCACCATGATCTGGAGAGCTTATACAGAAATTACTGCACTGGATCCACAAGACAAATACAAAAGAACTGAGATTAAGAAAATAAAAAAAATTTAACAAGGTAAGCTCCCATCTTCTCTGCATCCTAATGGTGTGAAAATGTATATGTATATATAACACATTTACATTCAGCCTCAAGAGCTGTGCCGTACTTTTTTGCTAATGTCTTCTGCTTCTGACTGCACAGAACATTTATGGAGAAATCCTCCGAAAGTAAGGGTTAAACGGTGCTAGGAGAAATCCATCTGCCACCCCCAAATCACATTCTGACACGTCTCACAGTCAAATCTCCCCCCCAAGGCGTTAGATGAGGGAACATCTTCAGTCTAAACCTGACTACAATGGGGCCAGTAAGACACCGCAAAAATGGATTGGGAGTGCTAAAACCACAGAAACCTCTGCCGGAAACACGACTTTCTATAAATACAAGATACTCGCCTCAGCTGCCAAGTTCGTTATTCTCTCTCCCTCTCTCTCTCTCTGTCATGTGGGGCTCTGCATAGTTATATATACTACATCATCATCCAAACACTGGGCAATTGAAAGCGAAATAGCACAAATAAGAAAAATGAAAGCAGCGGAAGCGTGGTTCGTCTTTGAAGGAACATCTCTCTCCTGCTCTTCCTCTGAGAGTGGGAGTGGGTTAGGGAAGCCCGGTACCAGGCCCCGATGCTGCTGCTGCTGTTGGTGTGGCAGGTTTCCCGTGCGATCCAAAAATACTTTCGCACTCGCCCACTTTGGTCCCCAGCCGCCTGCCTGTACTCTTTGGTTCTACAACAGGGATGGGTGAGAATCAGATTCCAGCTCTCCAATCGTGATTGCGGAATGCCCCAGTGTTTCTTTAACTATGCCCCCAGACTCCTCCACACACGCTGCGCTCGCATGGCTCCCACCTTGCCCTCTTCTCTGTTGCATCCATGCTTACGGCTCTCTGACAGTCCGATTCTTGGGCCCGATCCAGCTACTGCACCTGGTGTTACCTAACTGCCTGCACATTTTCAAAAGAAATCCAAACAAACAACAAAAAAAAAAGCCAAGACATTAACATTTTATTTCTTTCTTTTTTTTTGCTGTTTCAATTATAACATCTCCACAGAGGTGAAGCATTCCTTAACTCGCACGAAACACATACTGTTAGATAACATGAAATTAAGAGAAAGCAACGTAAATATCTATATTTCATTTGACAGACAAACCAGCAATGCCTTTAGACTGAAGCTCAATAACATCCACTGCACTACATCATTTTCACGCAACATGGAACTAATTGCATGTACTTTTGACCAACTTAAGTTAATAGGTCGGCATATTCTAGTCTCTGACTCATCTGCACCCACACCGATTTCTATTTGTTGCTCTTTCTCTTATCAAGTGACTCCACAAAGTGTATGAAAATGTACGTCCGTTAATTATTAGAAAGCATTATTCGTATCGGTGCTTCACTGCCGCGCATATACTGGTCATTACAGAGACCTGCAATGCAAACACATTCAAACAAATAGCTAACAGCAGACATGTGAGGAAACAGATGAAGAATGTTAAGAGCTTGCAGCTAACAAAAGTAACTATGGAAACGGCCGGCTCTACATTGCACTAGCTTCCACAGCTCTCTCCAGAAATAAAAACTGTTGGGCTAAGAGCGAATCAGGTAAAGACAAAAGATCCCGGGTGAACCTATTTATAGTGGGCCTTACATAACATACATAGACCTATGTTGGCTGAGGCAAGTTCGGTATTAAACAGCAAGCTTCTGAGGAGGAGGGGGGGGAGTTTGTGTGTAAAAGTGAATATGATAGATCCTAGAGCAAATTTTATCGAAAGCCATTTAGTGTAAACAGCAATTAGGATGACTCCTAATGAGAGGAAAGCTTGCTGTTTTTGATGTCGGGGAGAACAAACGCTGTCACGCCATCCTGTGTGGTCAGTGATGTCAAAGCTGGAGTTCCACAACAACATTAACATGCAGTACGCTAATGAGACGTGATCCATTGAGCAGTTTAAAGCCACGAGGCTTGAGGAATACACAGGGACCGAGAAAAAACAAACAAACAAAAAAACCTTACTTCCTAAGAAGCGCAAATTCATAGCCAGTTAGCCTGGAAGCTTTGTTTGTTTGTATGAAAGGCAAAAAAAAAAAGTTGTGTCAGAGGAGAACACACACACGCTCACACACACTCTCGCACACACAGAGCAGCGTGTGGCCTCGGGACAAGAAAACATCTGATATCTGCAGTGAAATAATACGAACATGCAAGCCCACATGAGCACAGAAACTGTGTGTTAGAGCCACTGTAGTGCTGTAATGCATGAACAGTGATCATCTAGAAATACAGCCTGCCACCATATCTTAAATCCAAATTGATCCATTAGCATAATTATCCACTTATACTGCTTTAATTCTAAGTAGCTCTCCATTGTAAGTAAAATGATAGCTAAGCTGTATTCAAAAAGCCACTTTTCCACTCACAAATGCCTTATTAATTAGCTCCCTCTAGCATACCTTCCCAGTAATTACATTCAATACAGGAGTCACTGCTGTGTGTGTGCATGTATGTGTGTGTCTATGTGTGTGCTGGGGTGGTGGGAGGGGGTGCTATTAGACAACTTTATAATTACTCTGTACATGTATAATGCTCTCCATCACAGGAAGAAAAGAAAAAAAAAAGCCCCTTTCCCCACAGAGCTGCTGCATTTTGGACACTGCATTCACCGCACTCACTCAGCCGAATCACCGGCAGCAGGCAATCACAAAATATTCACTGTATAGAAGCTCTGATAAGGTTGGGATGATATGCAAATGAATACTCCCTGACTCATCTGTTTATTATGCAGTCACATTAGTTAGCTCTGATGCTGTTTGGCTATTATCCCATCTCACTGTGAAAAAAGGGTCCTGGGTGAGGGGGATGGATTGCGCAGTGAGTGCTTTAGTCACACAGATTGTCCGCACTCTTCAAAGAAATAAATGCATTTTCGACTGTAGTTGCATTGAGGGGATGTGGAATCCATTTCCTCTGAGAGAAGCAGCAAAAAGGCAGATGATGTGGCTCGTCTGTGTCCAAAATCCCTTGATACTCTGCTTTTACGTTAGCAGGTCAAGGGGTCAAACGACGAGCTTGCGTCTTCCGCGACTGAACCCGGAGCCAATTATTTCACATTGATAAATCATACGGCGGTTTTTTTGTGCTTTATACCCAGCAACGATTCAGTCAAGTAAGAGTTTCAAAAACGTAAAATGTGAATTATAAGCCTTTCCGCAGCCGCGCGCAGGCTTAAACTTATTGTCGGTGACACGATCGAGGGAAAAAATGGATACTAATACTGTAGCTTTTACTACATTCAGCAGGACTACCAGTCTGCAGCTTCTCAGTCTATCTGCTGCTCTGCTAACTGATAGAGGCACTATTTTTAGCCATGCAACCTTAAAGCACCATGCTAAGCCTTCAACTATACAACCGCACATCTAGTCCATTCAAAGGATTCATAAAAGTGTAGAGGCTGCAACCCAGTGGTCATTGCACACACACTGAGAGCCCGTATCAGTGCTCCCAGCGCCAGCGTTTTATATATCTGGTGTCAAAGTATTAATAAGGACATTGCCACTCTTTGCCCCTGTGCGTGAATGTATGGCAACATATGTCAAGGAGTGAAAAGAATTTGCCATGTATGTCTCCTCTATGCCTTTGATCTTGGCTAATTAAGCACCAAGCCCTCACAACAACTGTGCTCCATGGAAACCATGCAAAAAAAAAAAAAAAAAAAAAAACAGGGAAAAAATTGACGTCAGCAAAAGGCCTTCAAATGCGCCATCTCACAAAAGAAAAAGGACCGGCTGCTGTATAAGGTCACAGCGTGTTGAAGCTACCGTCGGCTTTGACTGACAATGACATGAAGTACCTGCAACACAACTTTATGTCAATAACTGGAAGAGTGGATAGCCTTCCATGTAAGCTGTACATTGAGGATGAAAATCACACTTAGCCTCTCTGTGGTACTGCATAATATTCATTAAATATTAACACTTAGATCTCAGGCTTAATCGTGTTTTTTGGGATAATATCCACTCCTAGAGGGTGGGCGATATTATCAGAGATATTATAAAGATCTGGAGCTTAGAAGATAAAAAGGCTACAAAAAGAACAACTTTCCTAATCTAAGATTATGCTTGAATAAAAAAATGAACTGTTTGTGTGTAAAAACTACTATATATATCCAGCCAGCCGTGATATTAGAAGCACCTGTATAACATTATGTAGATCCTTCCTGATCTAACCTGCCTGATGTCTGGTTCTGGGAAACTGGCAGAAGATAGTTTGGGTCCTGTAGGCTGTGGGGACGGGCCACTGTGGATGAGGATAGTGGGGCACACCGGCCTGCTGCCATGACAGGGTGTACTTTATCTACAACATTTAGGTCAGTAGTTAAAGTAACATCCACAGGAATACCAGGACTTACTGTATCCCAGCAGGATGTCTCATTGTGATAAAATGATCACTTTTAGCCGTCAATGGTTTTAATGTTTTTGGCCCATTTGTGTATTTGTAGTAGCAGACATAAAGCCGCCAGTGTTTCAACCATAACAGGGTAATTTTCTTTTTGTTGGATGTCAAGCAGAAATTGCAGTTAAAGGCTTAGCAAGTTAAAAAAAACAAAACAAAACTGTTTCCAATATTGCAAACACACCAGTATTTCCAAAATAAAGTACACTCTGACAAAAAAAAAATATTTAAACCATTTATTTTTTGTCACAGTCTCTGCTGCATTCCCTGCCAGTCAAACCACAGGCAACAAAAAATGCTGAAAAAGACTGAATGTAACATTTTTTCCCCCCAAAAGACTGATTAAACAATTAAATGCCAAAATAATCAATCATTAAGACAGAGAATCAAAGACATGATAGATTAAAGAGAAAATGGCACAGTTACAGATAATGGCCCTTATTTGTCAAGTGAAAGCACGACTCGTAGAACTTTTCCAGGAAACTTTTTTTAGCAAACAGCTGTCCGTTTAAAAACTGTCATCCCCACTGCTGTTAAAACATGAATCCTCCCTAAGAAGACAAACAAACATAGATGTCCGTTTTCTTTTTCCGTACTAAAGGCTGGACCAGTGAAGGTGTAGACAATTAAGTTAAATGCATCTGAAGCACTAGAGGGAGCTTGGCTCCAAAAACTTGGCAAAGACAGTGTAGCTGCACTTAGGCTTGTTTAAAACTGCCCTTCAAAAATACTTGTGTGAAAACACTTAATTCTGATCAAAGGTTAAACGAGACAGTGTGACCGCAGAAGCCAGTTTCTAATTTTGGATCTCGTTGTGTGTCGCTACTCTTTACTGCACAATGCTGTTTCAGTCACATCCAGATAAATGAAGGCCAGTATCTTAAAAGATAGGAGATAAAAATCAACAGCATCAATACTGTTCAGCCATCATTAATAGGGTCAGAGATGACCAGCCGGTGAAGGGGTGGCTTCCCTGCCCCCTGCCGGTGCCGTCATTGTACTGCTCCCAAATATACCCTGCTTCAACATACTGTCTATAAACATTATTGATAATGTTAGTCCTGAGTTCCTCATAAAGAACAGCTGCCTTCTCTTGGTATGGCCCTTCTGTGTGGCTGTAGTAGTGGAGCGCTCTGACTGCCAAGTAGTTGATGTTAATCCAGATAGGTCCTCTCCAGTAGGGGGCATCGTGTTCTGTATTTCGCTTCATGTACAGTGGATCGGACTTGGAGAGCGATCGCAGGCCGTAGGGTGTCCACAGCTTATTGGAGTCTCTCATATCCTGGAAAATATGCTCCAGCTTGGGTGAGTCGGGCTGGAGAATCTGCAGTAAGAACGGGAACAAGCTAACATAACCCAAAGCATTAACATGCTGCGCTTTGGGGGCCCTGCGGACAGAGCGAACGAGACGAGCTACGGGGAACTGATGACGAGGCTGCCCTGGAGGTACGTACACCTTCTCCCTCTGCAAGGATACATCCTCTGTGTGGTTGCCAAAGTCACTGAAAGCACGGTGTTGTTCTGACCAGTGGAGCTCACTGAGCAGGTTGTTGTCACTGAGCACTTTGTGTGAGAGCTGGTAGTCCTCGTGGGGCTCGCCCAGAAGCTGAGCTACTTTAGCCATGATGCCTGAGGACAACGCCATCCAGCAGTGCAAGTCAACGTGACGCTCATCTGCTGAGGGGTGTGAGGCCCGTGGGTAGTCATCCAGCCCAGAGGTCAAGGTCTTGGGATTGAGAAACAGATTGGTGTCCTTGTCGCGTCCACGCCAGCGGTAAGAATTGGGTAGGGGCCCCGTCTGTGTGGTGTTGTACCATTCATACCAGGTTTTGAGCCTGGGGAAGAGCCGTCGGAGGAAATGCAAGGTTGGCTGAAATGCTGCCTTGTCTGGATTGGATGAGAATTGTTCAATAAGCTCCTGAAGCGCTAAGAAAAGCGTAGGGGGGTTGGCGTTCTCGTTTCGTTGAACAATAAATTCAGATGGGACTTTGCTGTGAGCCTCATCTCCAAGAATCTGCTCACGGGGGATCCAACCCTCCATATTCATCAGGTCAATCCAGTGGGCAATGGCCTCCCTCGTCACCTGGGGATCCCACTTACTCAACAGCAGCTGGTGAAAGCCCTCATCCCAAAGGAATCCTCTGGGAAAGAATGAGCGTGATGGAACAGCGGTGAATAAAGCACCTTCGGGATAAAGGAGAGGGTATTCATTGTAGACCGACTGTACTACCGACTGCCCAAAGAAGTAGCCCATTCCGCCCAGCATGTTGCTGAGTGCTGCCTTGCCGAATTTAATATACGCTTGGCTAAAACCTTTCTTCTCAAGGCCAAAAGCTTTCTCAAACTTTGCATCAAACTCCGCTTTCCTCTTCTCCAGCTCCTGAGTCATGATGGAGCCCACCAGCTGGTTGGGGCGATCGTGAAAGCTTCCAGATTCAAACAGAACCTCAATCTGGAAAGGTGTCTGAACAGTCACCTGGTACACCACAAAGTCGCTTTCCTTCCTCTGGTCAGGTTTCTGCTGGTTTTGGTGGTGAGGGGGTTTGTAGGTATCTACACCGATGTAATGCTTCTTCTCGCCGGACGGAGGGCTATACACAAACCTGCGGTTCAGACTGTACTTCACAATGTCAGTCAGCTTCTCCAGACCAGGAGACACAGTCTGAAGGTAGTTGTAGCTGAAAAAGACAGAAAACTAGCATTGACTGCCGTGTAGTACCAAATCAGTTGAATAAACACAAAACCTTACAGTGTATTTTGTATTCAGCTACAACTATTAAGCAACCTTAACTGAACTTAGCACACTGTAGCTTAACTTCTGATATCTCCTGCTGTAGTAATGACTCAGAGTTTGAACAGAAGGTCACAATAAAACTTCATCATGCCCCTTCCCACAGCTAATCACTGGAACAGTTCATATACAATTCTTATCGTTTCTATCCGTGCATACTGTACCTTGCTATTTTGCTATGCTGGTCTTCTCTGGCCCTCTTCAAAGTGCAAAATACTCCTCCTCCCTGTAAATGCTGCTAGCAGAAAGCTAGCATACTCCTCGTCCATTCAATAAGAAGCAACAACAGTTTTTTCCTGCTGTGAACAACACCTTCACTGCACTAATATCATCTGTTGTTTCAGCAGTACATTAGTTTTTTTCTTTTATTGTTGTACTGGTTGTAAAATGTTTTGTACATATTCGTCTAAAATAAATGTCCCAATGTTGAGAAAACCTGTATCATCAAGTCTGAAAATCTTCATCTGCTGACATCTAGTGGTTAGATTTCTTTTTCTTTTTTAGGTACTCTAGTAATAATTAGGATGACTCTAAATCACACCACAAAACACCATCCAAGACGGTGCAACATAATTAAAATGTTATGGCTCATTCAAGTCATGATTCTCTACTAGAAATTCATTTGTGTTTGCTGACTTAGGACTCCTGCCTACTACACGAGTGGATGTTTTCACCGTTCTATCAAGGTTTACCTTAAATCACTGACTGCTAATTGGAATTTTTGGCAGCTGTACTACATTTATTAAAGTTTAGACCACTGTTGTTTGATGCATATCCTTAACCCTGATAATTCTGAGCAGCCTCTTAAAAGTATGTTCTCTCCAACTTCTTTGCCTTTGTATTTGGTGTACTATTTTTCCTATTTACGTTTGGACTCATACACTCACGTGGCGTATTTAGCACTGTACAGCTCCCCAGTGACCGGCTTTCGGAAGGTGATCTTAAAGTTTCCAAGCTCCTCTGAGAAACCGGTGATGGACGCGAGGCGATTCCTCTCCTCTACGTGAGCCTGCAGCGAGCCCTGCGCGTCTGCTGCTGCGTAAAACATCAGGGAGATGACTGGTGCCTGGGGGGCGGAGCTCTGGTGGTTGAAGAACAACATACAAATGACCAGTGGAAGAACATAAATACATTTAAAATATATAAACTTAGATGGCAGAATATTATCAGCTGCTTTTGATCGTGTGAGATAACAGCTGCGGCCGTGCAAAGTTATTACTCACATGCTGTTTGGCTGTGACCCTCCATGTCCAGTCTCCTCCATGATCCCCTCCCATCCTCTTAACAAACTCGGTGGTCAGCGTGAAATCGTTGTCTCGGATTTCTTGGACGCCAAAGGTGAGGCCATCGTGCATGAGCCAGCCGTAGCCTTGAAGGCGATCGCCCTGCTCACAAGTGTGCCTGAGATTCATGTCCAAGTCAGAAAACTGACGCATCCACATCATGCCTGACAAGAGTTATACATAAACGGAAAAGAAAAATTCAGTTAAAAGCAATAAACTTGTACAAATTATGCTCAGGATTATGTGGCAATCTGCAAATAGTACCTCAAAATGTACCGTAAGTAGTCCTGTCAACTAATTATCAATAATATTAAGTGCAGTCAAAGTGTTCTTAATTTTGGGAAGCACTCAAAATTTTATCCAAATATGGAGGATTAGGGTTTATAAAATAAAAGATGAATTACATATTTACATTACATTAAATATTAAAGAGAAATTTCACGTATTCTACCAACGTGCCCTTGTTGTGATTGACAGAAAAGCTACAAAAAAAGAAAAAGATTCTTCTTCAGTCTTTGTTTTTTTAAATAAAATTTTACAGTTAAATATATTTTTTTACTTTATATGTTTGTTTCATTTCAACCAAGGATGCTGAGTAGGTAAGTGGAGCTTCAAGGCACAGCTAAACTCTCCTGTTTAAAACCATTGAAACAAACTCATCGAAGATGGGTACACAGTGGTCGTAAAGGGCTGGACGTGATCATCAATATTACTCAGCTAAGCTGTGGTGTTTAAATGATGCTCAGTTGACTCTAATGATCCCAGTGTGTCAAGAAAATATCCCCCATGCCCTTACACCGCCGTCAGCCTGAACCGTTGTGTGCATGCTGCTTACGCCAAATTGTGATCCTAAAATATGAATGCTTGCAGCAGAAATCAAACGTTTTTCCAATCTTCCGATGTCCAATTTTGGTGAACGTTTCGAAATTGTAGCCTCAATTTCCTGTTCTTAATTAACAGGAGTGATCGTCTGCAATCTTCTGCTAGCTGTCTGCCTCAAGGTTCAATGTGCTGTACGTTCAGAGATGCTCTTCTGCATACTTTGGTTGTAACGAGTGATTATTTTAGTTTCAATCACCTTTCTTCCTCATTTACCAGCTGAACTTCAGCAGGTCAACCTTTAGCATGTCTCCATGCCTAAATGTGTTAAGCTGCTGTGATGTGATTGGCTGATATTTGTGTTAATGAGCACTCGAACACGTGCAACTAATGAAATGGCCAGCATATTCATAGACACTTGTTTTTCTGAGATGTAGTAAGTTGAAGCTACATTTGTAACCTATGGCAGTTTGTGGGGTTTGAAAGGTTAAAAAAATGATTTTTCACAGTCTCAAAAGTCTTTCACCAGAGTTGAACAAACAATAAAATCACAAAGACAAACGTGTTTTTCTAACATGTCATTTTGGGAAACACTAACCTCAACAAGTGGCCACATTGCTATATTGTTTCCATTTAGATATTCATTATTAAATATTCCGATGTTTAAAATACAATAAGTCGCTGTTTTTCATTAAAACATTTAATGACACAAGTGTTTAGCCTTAGCCTGACTCTAAATGTGTGAGCATACCTGTCACAATAGACCTGGGACTCCTTGTTTTCATCCCAAAGTAGACCTGAGGCCTGTATGACCCCCAGAACCTCTCTGGGGAAACCTTGGCATTGGTGCTATTGGCATCCAGGACGTGAGGAGACGGATGCAGAGTCACCACCCTTTTAGCCAGGCTGGATCTCATGTAGATGGCATAAAAGAACCAGATGAGGCTGAATATGCAGAGACCAATTGAGATGTTAATGAACATTTTCCCAATATTGACTTTCTTTTTCTTGTCCTTGCGGTGAAATGCAGAGGGCTTCTCATCTTTCCGTGGAGGTGGAGCAGCTTCACCCGTCACCACCCTCTTCCTCTGCCTGCCCATCCTACCCTACAGAAGCTAGGAAAAAGACAACAAAGAAAGAGTTAAGATTTATCATGCTGATTATCATGATTGATAAATATTATGGGATAAATAAATCAATTTCAAAGTTCCAAGCCTGGACACTTCAGGAAGGGTATCCAGTGTAAAATCATGGGCAAATCAAGCATACGGATCATCAAAAATGAGACTACCATACCGGATCAGTCAAGGCCAGGATTATCAATGACAGGCTTTGATGCTATTGTCCAGCAACAGGGTGCCAGTGGCCACAGCTGTCATAAATGACTGATAGATGAAGAGAAGGAAGGTTGAAGTATTATGTGAGCAGGAAGCATCACGTCAAGTGCTTTGGAGACAAAGAGAGCCAAGGTTGAGACGATTAGGACGTGTGCAGAGGAGGGATAGTGGATGCTGAATATGGAGCTGCCAAGCAGGGGGAGAAGTGGAAGACCACAGAGAAGGTTCGTGGATGTCTATGATAGGGTGCAGACAGAGGCAGCTGATCTGTGTTGGAGACCCCGAGATGAGAAGAAATTGTAGTCTTGCAATATAGCAAGTATAAAAAAGCTCTAACTCTAACATCGATGAAATCAGACCGAGGAGGCAGGACTCATGACGGGGACTAAAGCATATAACCCGGAAATATCCGGGGAAACATTCATCCAGTAAAATGCATCCCTATTAAACTTGTCAGTCCTGAAGGAACTGTGCAGGTTCACGTAGTCTCGAGCATAAAAACGCGGTCTAGCTTGATAACCTTGCATTGTGTACAGGAGCCGGAAATGTCGACTTTATAAAGCATTTTTATAAATGTATCCCATTCACACGCAGAGGTCTCGATTTCAGCAGCCATTTCCCGACACCTGTTTAAAACGGTGAACTAGTTCCTCGCCCCTACACCCCGGCAATGCAACGTCGCCTGCAGGCTGCACGCTACTCGCTAGTTGCCTCAATGCTAACGTGAGTTGGTAGGACTAACAGCTGTCTGTCGCAGTATATTTTGGCCTTAGTTAGCCTGCAGGCGATTAAATTCGGATTCATTTATCATTTCTAGCTACATGTTCATTGAGCAAACCATCACCGACCTGTCCAAACACCAGAGTCTCAGCCGATCATTATCCGTACTTGGCTAAGCTTGCTAGCCACTTCCTGGTTACTGCTCGCTTCCACTGACGTGTCTATGTTCTCCCTACCGCACGCCAATGATGTCATCCAATGATTTACCGCTTGCCCCTAAAAAAAATAAAATAATAATAATAAATAATAATAATATTTATAATTAGAATAAATGTAAAACTAACGCTTAGAAGGCGTTTTCATTTAAGCGTTAAAAATGAGTTTTATAATCCACTGCATACAAGCAAGTATAGATTTTACTAAACAAAAAGTAGTAGGATTTTAACCGTGAACTGTATATGGTATATTTTATATACCGCGAATTAATTTAACGCACATTTATCTCAACCGGTTTATTTATACTGTAGGAATAGTAAAGCTATGCTAGGTTAAACCAGAGCCACATATGTCCTTAAAGGGCCAGAGTCTTGGTTACAGGTTTTAATAAAAGATTTTAATAAACGCTGATTAAATCAGTGTGTGTTAAATGAGTGGACCCCGTGATTCAGTAGCTTGTAGAACAACCTTGTAGCAGCAGTAACTTGAATTGTTTTCAGCTTAACTTTAGCAGCACATCATTTTTGGAGGATTTTTCTTACTCTGCTTTACTTTGTTAAGGTTTGCAGGCATTTCTTTATGCACAGAAAGGTCTTGTCATAGTATTTTTCAGTCAGGTTGAGGTCTGGACTCTGACTGGATTCTTGGCTGGTTGTAGATTTGCTGCCGTGTTTGACATTATTGTCCTGTTCCATGAAGTTAATTTGAACCAAGCTGTAGTTTCAGGACAGAATATTTTGGTATACAGAGGAGTTCATGATCAACTCAGTGACTGAAATAGTAAATGGCCTGTATTTGTATAGCGCTTTACTAGTCCCTAAGGACCCCAAAGCGCTTTACACAACCAGTCATCCACCCATTCACACACTGAAACAGTGACTGGATGGTACCACGGCCCCATGGCTGCAAAACAAGCACAAATCATGACTCTCCCACCAACGTGCTTGACAGTTGGCATGAGATTTTTCTACCAAGTTGCCGTGTTAGGTTTTCACCAAATGTGGTGCTGTGCTTCATGGCAGGACATCTCCACTTTGATCTCCTCTGTGCAAAGGACATTGTTCCAGAAGTCCTGTGGTTTCTTCAGATAAAGTTTGCAAATCTATCTGGTGCTGCCATGTTCTTTTTAAGAAAGAGACTTGTGTGACCTGGTGGCGAATTTCCTGGAATGTCTACTCTCAGTAACTGTCTTAAATGTTTTCCACTGGTGAATTATTTTTCCCCAGACTTAAGAATTATGAATTCAAATTGTTTGGAAATGGCATTATAAATCTTCCCAGACTGATGGCAGCAACAGGTGCTTTTTCTATGATCTTTGATGTTTTCAATCCTGTAAACTCACCTGAATGTACCAGATCACAATTGCTGATTATCAGTTTATTCCACAATAATAAACACATTTAAGGATGTACTAGTTTTTGTAAAATAATTAGAAGATGCATTATGTTGTGTATTGTTGTTCATCTGAGCTTTAAGTAATTTAAGTAAAAGATTGTCATTTCCTTTTCACGTGTGTATATTTCTGGTTTTCCAACCTTACTTATCCACCTGCGCTGCTCGCATGAATGACAAAATACAGAAACTTCAATTTGTTACTTTTTTTAATGAATGAAATATATTTATTATAACTTTGGTCAACATGTAAAACTGTAAGACAGGGGCAGAAAAAGTCTCAATGACCGTTTTCCAAGAAAAGCTGGGGTTGTCTTTACACATGCATTAAACTTAATCCATTAAAGACAATTACCAGACGCCGCCGTCTAGAGCGTCTCTGCACGTCGAAGGCTACCCTGTCCAGAATCAACTGCTGACCACGTGGCTGTAAATACACGAGTTAACTGCAAGCAGAGTGCTCAAAATATTGCTCATTTATTTATTTTGAAATCACATTAACCCCAATTTATCTTCATTTTCAGAAATGGCTTCTGAAGTGTATTTGCCCTGATGCAAGTTTCAGATAAACACCCAAATAGTGCCCAAAACACCTTTTGCTTTCACTGGTGCTTTACGAAAGTAAACATTTGGCTTCAAAGCCCAAAATTCAAGGAGGAGGAAAAAAAAAAGTCATCACTGTTCATAAAACATTAATGAACAACTTAAACAAGAGGTACGAAACATGGCATCCTCGAAATAAGGACAGAAGCTGAAGAGTTTTAGATCCTTTCTGCTCAGCTAAATTACTAAGTGCTCGCTGGATACGGTATGCTCTGTCCCTCTGAGTGCGCGTTTCCATTTATAGCACATTATGTGAATGAAAACAAAATAAAAAATAAAGACACGGTAACAGGTGAAATTAAGCAAGAGACAAAAGCAATTAATCTCCCACGTAACCCAGCCTGTCCCCCTGTAGCTCTGCAGCTCTGACTTGTGTTATTCTTGACAAACAGGTACAAAGACTGAGGCAAAAGTGTCACATGAACCCTCAGAGAATATTCATCACAAAAAGGTCAAAAGAAAAAAAAAAGAAAGCAGTGACGAACAAGATGATGGGATCTGAACCCAGGCCGCTCTTTTCGGTTTACTTCCACCAAACGTCAACAAACGCTGGTTTTAACTGATGACATTATAAACATTACCAGGAGAGGAACAAGGAAACATTAGACCGCAGGCATGTCCGGTTTCAGGGAAACATGCTGGAGCAGAAACAGGGTGTAAGAACCAGTAGACACCCCCTCCTCTTCCTGCTGCTGCTGATGCCCCCTCTTCCTCCTGTAGATTAGGTCTTGATCATCCCTCCATCTCCTTCGCTGACAAAACGCTTCCGCCCTCTAGTGGAGAAAGTCAAGACAGAGAAATGTTTTAGTGTTGGTAGGCAGCTCACAGACTCACAGATAAAGACGTGGCACGTTTCACATTTTCTCACTGAGAACAAAACAAATCGTCCGCTGTCCAAAAAGCGCAGTGCAATCAAGAAATCACCGGGCCTTTACTGAAAATGTAACAGTGTATGTGTGGCTCGTTTTGAAAGATTCGCATCTTAACCTGGAGCAAGATCAGGAAGCCAGCAAATACTGACAGATGTGTATTTAAGCAATAATAGCCGTGTTTAGAAAATGAGAAGGAGGTCATCCCATCCAGTGTGGACAACCTGTAACATCAGAGCATGAAAATGTGCGATACATGTTCTTTGGAAGCTGTAGTTTGTCCTCCAACTGACAGCCAGCGCTGTTTGACGGGTTTAAAGGTATGTTCTAGTCCATCCTTAACACGTGGAAGACGTTGCATGAGCACACGAGTCTGCTGTTTGAACTGTGAGTGACGTCACTCTACGAGTTAAAAGCACTTAGAAGTAGAAAAGGGCGCTGGTGTAAATGAGGCTTGAAGTGAGAGAGCAATTTGAGTGCTTAAATAAGAGTAGAAAAGCACTATATAAGTACCAGCTCATTTAAAGGGACTTATGTTTGATTGTTTTGTTTTGGTATGGATAAATGTGGAATTACACCTTCACTTCACGCCTTTATTGTCAACAGGGACAAGATGTATTATTTTCCAGATTCTTTCTGAAACTTTCAGTGGAACGGACCTGAAATCATTAGACAATAAACCCCAATTCACCTGGAGGGACAGGCATCCCTCAGCTGTTTGGTGATGACAGACTCCTGATAGCACAGGTCCACAAAAGTCTCCATGATAGAGTGGGCATGTGGCACATCTAGGCTGATTTCAGGCAGCTCATCATAGACGCGCTGGAAACCCTGCAGGAGAAAAAAAAAAATGTATAAGTAGTAATACGAAAGTGATACAGTGCATAAAATGGTAGAAAATAAAAGGAGACTAACCCTGTTCATCTGATCAACAGTGATGAGGCCCGTTTTCCAGAAGGACTGCAGGAGCTTCATCATCATACTAGTGGCAGTGTCACCTTTAGACTCCAGCACCATCACTACAGCCTGGAAAATGAATTCAGAAACTGAATTTAAAATCTTTCTCCTCACATACAAGGTCTCGAATAATCAGATCCCATCTTATCTTGAAGACCTCACAGTACCGTATCACTTCAATACAGCACTTCACTCTCAGACTGCTACCTTGCTTGTGGTTCCCAGGATATTTAATAGTAGAACGGGAGAAAGAGCCTTCAGCTTTCAGGAACAGGCTCCCAGTTTGGAAATGGGAAACAGACACCTTGTTTAATTTTAAGATTAAGCTTAAATCTTTTCTTTTTGATAAAGAGTATAAAGAATACAGTTAGGGCTGTAGCAGGTGACCCCGAATCCTCCCTTAGTTATGCTTCAACAGATCTAAGCTGCTGAAGGCTTCCCATGATGCACTTGGCGTTTCTTTTTCCACTCTCCTTTTCATTCTCTCTGTGTTTATACACCACTCTGTCTTTAATCATAATTTATTATTATTAATCTCTGGTTCTCTTCCACAGTGTGTCTTTGGACCCGTCTCCCTGCTTCACCCCCAACTGGTCTTGCCAGAAGTTGCTTCCTTTTAATAGGGGAGTTTTTTTCCTCCCACTTTCACCACATGCGTGCTTATACAGGTTCATCTGCTTGTTGGGGTTTCTCTGTATTGTTGAAGAGTCTTTTTTTAACAATATAAAGCACTTTTAGGAAACTGCTGTTGTGATTTGACAGTATATAAATAAAATTGAAGTGAAATAGACGCACAATACTGAGAAACACGCACCAAGTATCATCATCCGATCAATGAATCGAAGTAAGAGAATCGAGGCCAGTAATCATCAACATTCTCTGAGCTGAACATTTTACAGCATTGTAAAGTGTTTCAGCCTACAGCCGAGGCAACTGTTAGACTAACATGAGACAGGACAAGGGGGGGTGAAACTGCCACGACTGTGCTCTCCTCAGTTGTGCCCTTTGCAGACCTTGGACTGTGTGAAAAATCCGTTTTTGAAGTCTGCGTGCCCGAAAAGTAAAACTGGCTGTACTGCAATTAGCTGCATAACATTGTGCAAATCTTAGCAGGAACCCACAAGGTCACACAAGGAAGCAGAATTATCACCGCTGCCATACGTGCACTAAGCGTGCATCTGTTTGCACTCGGTCTAATATGGAACAGAAAAACTTGCCATCCAAAAGTGAGCTTGTCAACTGTGTGCACGTTTGAAATTTGGTAACCAGTAATCTGTTTATACTTACACAAGGACACATTTTGGTTTGACTGATTTGAAGTGAGCTTAGCGAATACATGTACTGCAAATAAGAGACAATCACTGCCAAACACACAGTGTCCTTGGCAGAAAGCAGAAATGACTGTCACCGATCAGTTTTTTTTTCTTCCCAGTGTTGCTCTTCAGTTTACTTGACTCGACACCAGAGACAGAAAACACTTAAAAAAAAAAAGGCTCAGTTTACAGATTTTAATTCCTATCCTGTTATGTGTGAAGAACAAGTAGAAAAAAATAAACCTTCTACTTTGTTTGACCTCACTTGACTTGAACAAATAAAAAGCTGTGGATACCTCGTAGACCAGCTCATGGTGGAAATGAGGCACTTCCAGGTCCCGGAGACAGTGCTCCGCCTCCGACACGTCTCCTGATATCAGATACTCTTTGAGCAGAAGATTCATCTGAAACAAACAAACAGCCACGTTAGCAGTGTGTGGCAACGGTATCAAACACAGCAGAAGACTGAACTGATGCATTGCTGCCGCATCAGTTGAGCTGCAGGTCAAACACTCATCAAGACTAACTAACCCACGTTTAATTCAGAGTAGGTATAAAAGGGTAAAGAGCCATGCATACAGTGTTCTACACTGAATTATCCCAGTGCTTACTCTCACCATGTTTATGTACAATAAACCCGGTGAGAGTATACAGAAATGTAAGTAAATCTTTTTCTGTTAGGAGCTCCAGTATGAAAACATGTCTTCTGGCATCAATGCACAGAAAATCCACAAGCAGGAAAAAGGCTAACTAGAGCCCTGTACCTTCATTTAAAAAACACCCACTCATGATGGGAGACTCTGGCCAATCACAGATTGTTTTAGACCAGCTCAGGTGAGCAATTTAAGGGAGTGTAAAGAACAACAAAAAGAAACGTTCAAATCCAACGTAGAGCCAGAAATCATACATGTGAAGCACATCAAGGCACATGATGGTGGGAGGAGATCAGAAGAGAGGAGAGAACGAGCTGCACAAGGAAGGCTTGCTATCAAATTGCTCCTTTTCTTTTTTTCCTGCCAAATTACAGAATCTGCAACTAACCAGACAACATTTAAAGCACCTGCCTATGAAATATTTTCATCTAGCCATTACTCCAGGAATAACCCAACCTTCATCTGGGAAATAAAATCTATCATGAAATGTTTAACGTTCCCGACAGAAAGAAAAACATTTCTTTGTTTGCACTTCTGCTTGAATTTTCAGTCTCCGCTCTGTTTTTATAGCAGGCTCGGTTATGTCACTCTCACTGCAGATCTGCACGTACATCAGGAAGCATGGTTTTACTTCAACCTATTTATGGAACGATTAGTCATTCGATTAGAGCGCGTGATTGATCCAAGATGCTCAAAACACTGAGCATGACCAACACTTCTGAGTCAACTTTGGATCCAATTCAGCGACGGGTCTGAAAGCTACCGAGGCTGACACACCGCTCTCACTCGCACTCTTTAAATGTTGCACAACTTACAGTTTGGGTTTGTTTTCCTCAAGTGGAACTCCCACATTGTCCACACCCACATTCACACGGCAACAAAATCCCAGATTACTGAAGAGTGATTGTAAACAAAAACAAACCAGAGAAACAAAAGACCGAGTAGCAGAGCCCATCAGCACAAGCACACGCAGATGATTACTTATTATGATTACTTATTAAGCCATTTTCAATAAAAAATAAGTTTAAAAAAGTAAATTGTGATTGAAGTGCAGACTTTCAACTTTAATTCAAGGGGTTTAACAAGAGTTTTGTGTTAACTGTCTAACAATTACAGCCATTTTTATACACAGCCCTCCATTTTCAGAGGCTTAAACATAATTGGACAAACTAACAATTTTAAACATAAAGACTGTTTTCATATTTGGATGAAAAATCCTTTGCACTGCATTTGACTGCCTAAAGTCTGGAAGCCAAATGCTGCGTCTCCTCCCTTGAGATGCTCTGCCTTCAGTCGCTGCGTGTTTGTGGGTTTTTCTGCCTTCAGTTTTGTCTTCACCAACTAAAAATCATGCTCTACTGGGTTGAGATCAGGTGACTGACTTGGCCCCTGAGTATCTCATTTCTTTGCCTCCATAAAATCTAGAGTTGCTTTTGCAGGGCTTTGGCTCATTATCTACTTGCGCTGTGAAGCATCGTCCAATCGGTTTTGCAGAATTTGGCTGAATCTGAACAGAGAGCATAGCCCCGTCCACTTCAGTCCATCCTGCTACTTCTATCAGCAGCTACATCATCAATAAACACTAGTGGGCTGGCTGCATACGCACCTGTGCCGTAATGCTGCCTCCACGATGATCATCATGTATGTTTTGGATTATGAGTCGTTTCTCTTCTCTAAGCGCACTTTATCATCATCAGTCCAAATCATTTCCCCCCAAAGTGTTAATTTGCCCTTCTTGTTCTTGAGTGAAACTCACGGAAACCATGGAAACAATTAACCTCCACTTTAGTTGCCTTCTTTTGGTGTTGTTGTGAATGCAGCAGATTGTTGATCTGGTCACTCCTAAAGTTTTTGTTCTCTCCAACTGGTTTTATTTTAGTTTTTCAGCCTAATGATACACTGCCTCTACCGCAGTGAGATCTCCTCGAGCCTCATATTTAAAATTAAAGTGCCAAGCTATAAAACAGAAATGTAACATTTTCAATTAACTTCTGATGTGATGATCTCCAGATGGATCAGCTGCCATTAAATAAGAGAATAGGCCTCACCTGGCCATGAAATTGCTCATCAGTCAGCTGAATTAATTTGGAGCTTCTGGAAAAAAGCAGGTCATTGTGCATAAAAATACTGGTGATCACAGACACAGCTATGGTATCAATTTCAAAATCCTATGTATCAAATTCAGTAGATTTTCATAAAACTTTACCTCTGACCCCTGATCCTTAGGTCAAGGTCACTAAGATCCAAACTTGTCCCAAGACTTTAAGTAGATGAACCTACGGTATCATATTAAAACTCCTACATCGCATCGCTCTCACGTTGTTGCATTTACAAACGTACGTGTCCATTGCCCCTGCCCACCTGTCAGGGTGACAACAATACCCCATTTTTAAGCAATTAACAAGGTCCTTTTTTTAAACCCCATAATTTAAAAGGAGGGAAACATATGGACTTAAGTGTACATGAAGTTGCACGGTACACTCTGCAGTAATCCTCTGTCCTCCATCCTCCGGCCTGCGACCTAGAAACCAATTTCAGTACGCCACGTTAAAGCGTGTCTCAGTTCATAATGTGCATCACACGAGCAGAGGAGAGAGAAGGCTTGTTGTGTCAAATCCTGTCTCCTTGTGTCTTTCCCTCGCCTCCTCACACCTTTAGAGGGAGGGATCAAGACACAAGGAGAGGAATCGATTGAGACTGTCTTAATTTTAATCATTTATTTATTTATTATGTTATTGCAGGACACACTGGGTTTTTTAAATCTATGCATATGTTGACGCTTATAAGGTGATTTAAATTAAATCATGTTTATATTCTCACACACTGTTTATTGTATTGATTTGGCAGAAAGAGACTCTACTGTGAGAGTGTGTTTGTTTATGTCTGCCCCTCCCATGCCTTTTTTTTTTTTTAATTCTCACTTCTCAGGGGGTCAAAATCTTTGCTGACACAGCAGCTAGACTGTGGCGCTCTACCCAGCATGCACCGTTTTCGCCCTGTTTACATTACATAATGTAATACACACTTGGAACTCCGATGTGAGGGATTCACTATGATATCACAAGCGAGCGACTTATCAGTTTCTGAATGGGGTGAGGCTTACCTCTTTGATGAGATGTTTGACAGGTCTCAGACCTCCACCGACACCCCACACGTTGTCCAGGCGAACCATCTCCCTCTTCATGGACAGCAGCACAGCAGCGCGGTCTAAAGCCACTCTAAAGAAAAGGATCACAGTTAGGTGGAGGGGAAGGGTGGCAGGGGCACAATACAGCCTTTCTTACAACGCGTTGAACTGCGGCTTTCACCTGGCATGCTCACAGTCCACTTTGCCCTTGTAGCAGTCCAGGAATGACATGGGGAGGACGTGGTCTGCGATGGCTCTGGCTATAAACTGGCCTAACATCTGCAAGGAACAGGAGGAAAGATTACGGTAAGCGAACCAAGTGAAGCCACATAACAAACATACCCGACTAACATTTGTTTTATTATTTAGTTTTAGCTCTTAAATGTATTAGGCCTCTGCACTGCTGAAGGTGGCGATCTAGTATGCAACATTTTGCTGCCTCGTAATAGAAGAAAGATACAAAGAGCATGTGTAATATTTGAAGAGGATTTGTGTGCACCTTTGGGATAAAAAGGAGTGGTTTACACTTAACCACGGTTGAACCCTGCAGTGCCTCTCCACCCTCTGAAGCACACAGTTATATTTGGTAGCATATCTGTGAGTGCTTCTTCCCATCGTGCATCAGCTCTACCTGCGGGGCATCCGGTGTGTCCAGGATGAGGTCCGGGAGCTCTTTAAGCATCTTGTCGAAAGCTCGCCCCATCTCACTTTGCGACAGCATCTTCCCCGACAGATCAGACAGCAGGCGGGAGGTCAGTTCTCTGTGGCTCGCCTTGCCTTCGAGGGACAGGGACACGGCCAGAGAGGAGAACTCGTACTTGTGCTGGCCCAAATTGAGCTCCTTCAACAGCATCTGATAGGGTTTTGGAGGGAGAATTGCATTTAGTTTTTACAATTTAAGCATTTTCAAAAATGACCCCAAAACACAAACACATTATGCTTTTCAAAAGCGAGAGACACAAACCGAAGCCTAATCAGGCCCAGACAATCAAAGCACAGTGCGAGTGCAGGCCACTGAGAGAGGGAGTGCTTTCGTGTGCTTGGCACCCGTGCATAGAGTGAGCACAGCCCAATAAACCTGTTGTTAAAAGCTCCACATTACTTCAGTCATCCAGCTTTGTTCTTTAAACCTGCTCACTCTTGGTCAGCATGCACAGACTTCAAAAGCTTTATTATAATTACTTACCTGAACCTCTTTTGTGTCCCCGTGCTCAAAGTACTCCTGTACAATCGGGTTCACCATTTTCTCAAGTTCCTTCTCGTCTATCTCGGGCACGACCGTCTCGTAGACCGTGTCCCCCTGTGTAAAAATACACACACGCGGCGTCAGTCAGAAACAAGCACGCACAGCAGAGCGGATGCACGTTTATCATTGAATTTCTCATCAGCTTTGTTTCAGGATTATATGAAGTATTTTCAACAATTCTAAAATACACAGTTCAACTTACAGTACTGTGCAAAAGTCTTGAGCCACCCCTCATTTCTTTATACTTTGCTAGGAAAATGGGTGCAGTGGTTTGAAACATGCAAACATTCTGTACAGGGTAAAACAGTCAATAACAGAGTTTGTATAATTCTAATGAGCTTAAGACTCAAACGGACACCTTTATTCTTCTGAGGCAGGCTTCGCTGTAATTTCTTTAAGTAGTCTTCAGGAACAGTTCCCAAGATCCTGGAAGGACATTCAAAGCTCTTCTTTGGATGCCGGCTGCCTTTTTTTTTTTTTTTTTTTTTTTAACCCCGTTCTCCTGGATGCTTTCCAGATGTTACTGAATGTGCCGTGTTTTACTGATGGTTTTATACACTCACTGTTGTGCCTCTCTCCTGACCTCCTCTGTACATAGTGGCATTGATTTGAACTAAAAGTTTTAAGTTTGGATTCATCACTCCATAAAACCTGTTAAAACTGATTTTAAAACTGATTTTCAGCCCATTTCTTGTGTAATGTGATATTCCTCAGTCTTCTTCAGAATGGCGTCTTGAGAGTTACCCTTCCACTGAGACCATTTCTGATGTCATAGGTGTCAGGCTTTCAGATACTTTCATCTGCTGTAGATATTTTAAGTTTTAAGCCTAATAGCTCTTAGGAAATGACCTTATTGGTCCAAAAATAATTTTTTATGACAGTCAACCTGTTAACTTTAGTGTTCTTATAGATTGAACTCAAGAAATGGGAACACACTGTGTGGACTTGTAGAAACAAAATGCTGGAATTGTTCTGGTTTTTTTTGTCTGTTATGTGTAGACAACACTGGTTCATCCTCGAATTAGGCGGCCTTTTTATGCTTGAATGAGTCGTAGTTCAGTGTTAAGTAGCTTAAAGAAAATTCTTTTAAAATACAAAGAAACGAGGGGTGACTCGAGGCTTTTGCACTGTACTGTATGAGCTAATTTCGTATAACTGCGTGATATATAAGATATTTTTCACTGGAGTTTTCACAAGAGCATCCATATTCATTCTTGAGGTGCTTTTCTTTCCGTTATTAAAGCTCTGAACATCCACCGGATCCCCAGAGAGCTGTGCAAGACTCATACTGAGTTTGTGTTTCTGCCCAAAGAAACCAGAAGTTGTTACCTTTGAAAGTCTCACAACCATTTTGACCTTTCAGTTCGTCTATTGAAAACTTTTCCTTTTTGGGCATACCAAAAACTCCACAGAAGATGTGTAAACATAACACTGACTGAAAACGGGCTACCGGTGAGCTTTAACCTAAACTTCTGTCTCAACACTTGTATTTACGAATTCCAAGGATATGAGTAAACTAACGTTCAGCTGAGGTTTTGAACAACCTGGAGCACAAATGATAATCTCAGTGCAGGCTAACATATACATTTCTACAAGTCCTCTTAATTATTTGAGTTATTTTAAGGAAAAACCACCTCCTAAAAATAATTAGTCAAAGAAGAGGAAAGAGGCATTCCAGCGTGTTACAGTTCCCATTTCTAGGCAGCTCCTTTATCAGGTGATCTGTGCAGTCTGATTCAAAGTCCACAGTCTGCACATGTCTCGTCTATTTTTCTGTACCACTCTGTCCCAGTTCCCTTTTAACAGTCAACATCTTTACGCCACCTTCGTGCTCCAGTCAAGGCTGAAATCACACCGGCTTTTCTGAGCCATTTCCAAACAGTTATCAGCATTTTACAGACAGGAGCGCCGTTCCCAGCCCGCATTCAGTCGCAAGTGCAGCAAGAGACAAACAAACTCGGCCTTCGGCGTCACATGGATGATAACGGGGTTAAAGATTGCAAATAGTGTTGACTGCAATGGGACGGAGCCATCTGGATTTAAGAAACATGCTAGCAGACCAATTTTTTTAACGGGTTTCAAACAAAGCTTGTTAAGATTTTTGAAACGAAAACTGTCTTGTATTTCCCAGGAAATCCTACTGTCAACATTTCCGGTGTTTCTGCGTAGCATGGGAGATGGATTACAATGCATCTCATCAGCAGTTCAGAATCAGAATCAGAACGTGGACATAAAGAGATAAAGGGTGCCATCCAATGCACTGACTGCTGGAAGGAAAAAAAACACAAACAAAAACCCCCTGACTGCTGGATGCCAGCATTTGAAAGCAAAGGACTTACAGATATAAAACAAACCTGCTTGCAGATAATCTGAAGTGTTAAAAGACAAACCCCCCAGCGGCCTCACCTGATAAGATTCATCATAGTTGGGGTCGTGTATGTCGGGCTCCTCATCTTCGTAAACCATCCCAGCAGCTCCCCAAACTCCTTTACCACCTGCCCCACCTGAACACGAAGAGTCAGCATTAACAGTCAGCAGTATAAGTCATGATGCTCAGGATGCATTGCTTCAAACGTAACTGCACTGCTACTATAATGCCATATGCTTGCATTGCATTGAGTAGGTGACGGCTACGCACTATTCAAAAGGTGCCACATCAATTAGAGCGGTGAAAGCACCAGATGCAGCAATGCAGTTTTGGACAGATTCAGAAAGAAGGTACATCGCTAATAACCCTTTTCCATCAGTATCTACTCGGCACGACTCAACGTGGTTTTTAGGGTTTCACCTGGTACCGAGTAGTTTTTAAGTACATACTCGGGTGGGATTCCAAACAATTCGAGGCGATCTGAAAAAGTGATGTCATTTTTGAAACAGAGCATTGAGGGGAATTGGCTGCACAGAAACAACACTGTGGTCCTCGAGTCTGACAAAATGCCACAGAGTGAGGAGCAGGTATGCAATCGCCTCAATGTCCGCCTTTGTTGTAGCGTTCGTGTTGCAAACAAATGATGTCACTGGACGTTCTGTTGTGTTGCTATAACAGCCCCTTGAGTCGCGTTGAGCCGATCCAAGTAGAAACTAATGGAAAAAAGGGCTGAAAATTGCAGCGGACTGCAAATTATACCTTTTTTTGGCAGGCCTCTGCCTTTGCCCGTCCTGGATTTCCGGTCATTGGTGTTGACTTTGCCTTTCGGGCTGTGCGGGTCACCACCCGCCACTTCTCCCGACTCCGAGAAAGACTCGCTGGTGGAGTTGCGAGACGAGGATTTGCGCAGGCGACGCTTGGCTTTAGCTTTTAGACGAGCCTCGTGGAGCGCCTTTTCCTGGGGCGTCCAGTTGCCGTTCACCTCGGCCTCATTCAGCGAGTCGTCGTCGTCGCTGTACGGATGGTTAGCCTCCGCCACGGTGCCACCAGGAGCAAACCTCCCTGCAGTGAGAGGAGTGGATTTGTTCGTTAATGAACTGGTCTACACTGTGACAAACAACCTTATAAAAGTACACAGAATGGCCACAAGTATACAGACAATAAATATAAAGTTTTTTATAGCACGTCTTTGTCCTGTCTCCATCCCCTAACCCCAACCGGTCGCTGCAGATGGCTGCCCTTCCCTGAGGCTGGTTCTGCTGGAGGTTTCTTCCTGTTCAAAGGGAGTTTTCTGATTGGTAGATGGATCATCTACCAACGTCGCCTTTAAAAATAGTTTTTCACAGTGGAAAACTTTAAATATTATTTGAGCGGCTTTAAAAAACATCAACACTCTCAAGTGTTCCCAGCTTTGCCCTTTGTGACGACTGCAAAAAAAGAAAAACAAAGGACACACTGACAAGAACGGAAGCCACAGTAAAAGGTAAACATTAAACTACTATTTAGTAACAACACACGAGTCTAAAAATAATCCAGCACTAGTTTTCTGGACAATAACACAGACGACTCAAATCACCTACAGCAGCGGACTGATTTCTGAGGTAAGCAACTTTCATAAAAACTGCTCATGTCTGAGTAAAACACAAAAAAATAAATACAATTTAAAAAGTGAGTTTAAAAAGGTACAGCTCTGTTACTAAAGCCAAGTTTAGCTGCAAGCCTGAACAGTTAATGGTGACTGTATTTCCCGTCGATGTTTACAAAGCCAAGACTCACTCTGGCAAGACGACATGGCAACATTTTACCTATCGGTGTTGTGCAAGAAGTCTCGCTTTGTGACTTTTTCTGCATAAGAACAGCTGCACGACTATAGCAAAATAGTTCATACCGAAGGTTTACGGGCCAACTTCCAGTCTTAATTTTTCTTGCATTTGCAAACAATCAAGTGCACCCTTCAGCTAATACACTGGCTTTCTGTCCACCTGTGTGCGTCAGGGCAGTGTTTTGCACAGCAAACCAAAGGTCACATAACAGGCAAAACATTATTCAGGAAGTCTGCAGTGCAAACTTACTCGCATGCATAGCTTTTTGACACTCACCAGCAATATCAGAAGACATAAGGTGGATTGAGTCGGTATTTTAATACGCTTCTATGGGTGTATGGAGAAAAAAAAAGGGAACATAAATTAACCGAAAGTTAGCTTCTTGCAAGCGTGGGGAAACAAACAACAAACCAACAAGTGTGACTGGAGCTGTGATGCAGGCATGGAGGGAGGAGGGAGCGAGCAAAGGAGAGCACATGCTGTAGAAATGCTGACGCCAGTTTTTTTTTTGTTTTTTTTAACTCCTCTATGTTCTCGCGGTCTGTGGGGCGCAGCTAGAGTGGACTTGACTACATATGGCATGGCTGGGTCCATGAATGATCACATGACAGCACTGTAGGAGTGAGGGAAAGCAGCAGGAGGAATGCCTGAGGGTGAAATTCATACTCAGCACCCTAATGCATGGCTCCAAAAGGAAGTTTGTGGAGTTATAGCCATACAGGTTATAAGGACAAGCTGAAAACACACACAGGGCGTCCCAGCAACAGATAAGTATCCAAAAAAGGAGAACCAACTGTAACTTGTGGTTTCCTGCTTTTCTTTTTTCTTTTTAAATGACATTACAACAAAACAACACATCTGCAGAGTTCACAGTAAAGTTAATAACAAAGAAAAGGAAGGAGGAACCATCCTGATTTAACCTGTTGAAGTAAAAGTAGCACCACACCCTGGCCTTCCAAAACCTGTAAACAACCGACCACGTGTCACCTCCTCCTCCTTTGGTTCCTCCTCCTCCCTCCTCAGCACAGGCTACAAGGGCCTGTCCGGGCAGTAAATTAGGAACTACCCAATGGCAAAGTGCCAAACACACAACTGACCAACTGGAAAGGAGCAGAAAAATGAGAAGGCACAGAGGAAAAAAAAAAAAAAAAGCAGTTTGCAAAGACAAGAGTTGCATAAGCGAATGTAAGAAAATCCAACCAAGCCTGCTAACTTTTAGACTCTACAAAGACCACATGGCTGTCTTCTTAAAACAGGCCTGAGTGTCACCGTCGCAGTCCTGTAAAACTGCAACAACAAATCGCACTCTAGCCTTTAACACTAACACTGCACACCTACTAGAGCACCCAATGGAAACCTCCCCCTCCCACCCACTTAACACACATACAGATATAGGCAGACGCAGGCCAGCGCAGGACCTCTGCCCTGCATGACGTATGGGAGCTAGTCGCTGGCAGAGAACATGATCGGCCCAGTTCAGCTTTAAGTATCTGCACGACCGAGGCGTGCATGAATGAGAAGAAGGTCAGTGGAGCAGAGTTTTCACATTACTCCAAAGGGACGCACCTAGTTTATCAAAGCTGTAAATATAGTACATGTGCTGCCCAAGTATGAAGTTAGATGTATGCAAGTACAGCAAGTTCTTTTTAGTCAAAGCACAATGTCTGCACGTCTTATGACGTAGTCAAAGCCATTGATGTGTAGATGACGGATATATTTAACATGTTCACTCTCAAAGAAAGCTTCAGCTGACACACCCTACCCTCTAACAAATACTCACACTCAGGTGTAGTCTGCACATACAAGGGCTTCACAAAAGGTAAATATGTACGGCACAAACTACTACTCTCAGTTTCAGAGGGTTAAAATCAAGAGTAGCTGTAAATATATAGATATCTTTCTACATTAACTCAAGCAAATGTGAGTGGGATGTCCTTTGGGGCCAAATAAGCATCTGCACCATGATAAAAGAGGGGGGTAGGGTGTGGATGTCTTTGAGGTTTAACTGTCATTTCAGTTTAATGAAAAGAAACTCCGACTGAATTTTTCCTTAAAAACATGTACCAGGCACTTAGCCTAAACTTGGATGGTGATTTGTGCTTAAATATACAACTGCAGCGGGCTCACAAGCAGGCCACACGTGCAACAACAAAAAAAAGACCGAAAAAAAAAAAAGAAAGTGCTCGGTCCTTGTTTTTTTTTTATGCTGGAAACGTTTGCTGGTTGCAGAACAACAACGACAATGATAAAGTGCTCACAAAAGATTAGAGCTACTCTGATAAACAGTCGAGAGGCTGATGGCTCGTTTTGTTATCATCAGCCAATCACTCGTGTGTTGTCAAGCACGGGCGGTTTGCTCAGCTTACGAACTAAAGGGCCTGATGGTGTGTGCAAACATGTTTTTCACAAATGTGAAGAGGTAACAAAAGAAGAGCAGCCACAAAGAGGTCCAACGTGATGTTTATGGCCACGATGCCCTTAATGCACATTTATACACATGCTCTCTCTCTGAAGAGATCACAGACCTGCTCCCACACTGTGGGGAAACATCCTGCTCACAGGGGCAGTGTCTAATTTTTAGACCAAGTTTTTTTATAGAAGCCCTTTTAAATCCGTGCCAAATGACCATAAAGAGGAGGATAAATGCAAACGCTGCGCTGCCATTAGTCGATTGTGTTGGTGTAATAAGAATAAAAGCTGCAAGAAGCTCCAAAACTATTTCCAGGGTCAAATACTTTTGCACTTGACACAGTTTTGAAAGTGAGGAGAGGCTTGTTCTGTTGCAGAAGTTCCCATTTAAACCCAGTAGATGGGATGTTCTGGCAGTGCAAAGCCATCACTTCAGCCACTAATAACTCATCTTATTACACCTTAATTAACACCTAACAGCAGCACCTTGTTGCAGAACTGACAGAAACGGCCTAAAGGTCTGATCATCTGGGCGGATTAATACGACTTTACACCCACTGCTGTGTGAGCTCAGAGTGATCCACGACCTAACGAGGAGCCGTTCTCCTTCTTGTTTTCCAAGCCAGACAATAGACTCTTTGACGGTGTCTGTCGCAACCTCATCAATGAGGCTTGACCTTCAAGGAAGTTAATGCAGAAATACCCATCCGTGCACACATGCTCTCACTACTATGACATACCAATAATGCACCATGTGGGGTGTCACATATACATACATATATGTATATACATATAAACACACACACACACACATACAGTCTGCACAGACAACCTTGGGACAGGCAGCTGCAGGGCGTTTTCAGGCAAACAAACCAATGGAAGATTATGGTAAGTGTGATCCATACAACCTTGGCGCTAATAATGCATTTCTTATGTAACACTTAAATGCACTGCAAAGCAGAGCTTATGTAAGGTTTCGCTGTTGGCTCGTATTCTGGAGTGGGCTGTACATTTCCACATCACCGTCGAAACCATGTGGGTCATGTTACCATAAAACAACAATAACAACAACAACAACAACAAATAGAGCGCAATGATCATCAAAACCATCGCTCATATAACCCAAGAACGCAAAAAACAAACAAGCAACCTCGGTTTCGTTTCTATCTATGATCAAACACGGTGATATCTTCCGCAAACCCGGATCTCAACATATGACTTGGTGCAGGATATTGAGGTTTAATGCCACCTGCACAGCTTTTAAAACACGCAGGGTGACATGGTGCCACGCGCACGCACAGACGGAGGAATCGTGTCTGTCAGCTTAAACACAAACTCCTTTCTTTGTTCGTTTTTGTGTGTGCGCGCTTCCTGGGCATCGAAGATGGACTATAAGAAAAAGTCTCAACGACGACTCGCAAAAGCGGAAGTAAGCGCGATCTCGTCCAATCAAAAGCGCGAAAGGGTTAAATGTAAAAGCAGACCAACAGCAAGCTTACAAAAGAAAAAAAAAACAAACAGTAAAAATACAAATGGGGTTTGGTGCGAGTCGAAAACGCAAATCTGCGCTACAGTGCACAGATTTATTTTTAATCTTTTGCACCCACCACCGCCTCCCTGTGTGTGCGTGTCTGGTTTTTTAAACGGAGCACATGGTAGTGGGAGCATGGCTGGCGTTGCAGACAGTCCCATGCGAGGAGGGACAATGGATCGAGCGAGGAGGCCCTATCTGTGTGGTTGCTTCTCCAAGGCTGGAGGTTGGATCCACTCACCGTCGGCCTGAGGAGCGGTGTCCATGTCGGTCGCCATGGCGCTCTCTCTCTTCAAATGCTCGATTAAAAACCCCTGGCGGTGCACTCCTCCTCCCGTCGAGCTGCCGTTAGCTGCAAGAGGCCCCCCACTAAAATAAAATAATAAAAAAAATTAAATAACAGTCCTGCAGGTCAAACCTCTGCACAGCAGCCTCGTTTACTGCGAGTTTTACGGGCAAGAGAGACGGAGGGCAAAGCTGGAGTGTCTTTTTCGTGCTTAGCTTAGAGAGGAGTAAAAAAAAAGATGAGTAAAAATGAGTGAAGGCGCGAGATGGAGGAGTTCAGTCCTCTTGTCCGCGTGCACAGCTGGGGTGTAAAGTTAAAAAAAACAATCACGCTGTGGGGGGAAGGAAGCGGGTGAACTAGTTGAAGAGCATTTCATCAAACAGCCTGGAAGATAAACAAAGTCTGTTTTTAACTTTGCAGGAGCGACGCGAGAGGAGTCACGTGTCGAAAACGCGGACGGGGAGTGGTCAGCGCAGGGGGTGGGTGCTAATCCCTAGCGACCAATCACAGAGCAGCAAACGTCTGCACGTCTCCAACGGAAAATACCCAAACAGTGCTGTTTTTTGATATCGATCCGATACCAAGTAAATACAGGGCCAGAACTGCTGATACCGATACTGATAGCGATATTTTTAACCCGTAAAGGCAGCGTGAGAGCAGTGTCACTCTGAAAATTCACACATTTTAATGACAACTAAATCACTACGACTTTTACTTTCCACAATAATTTGTTAAGACAGCAAGAACTCACCTTTCTGCCTTTCTTTTTTTGTGTATTTTTGATTTCCAAAAAATAATTTGTTTAACACAGATCAGTGGACCACATGCTGAACTCAGAGGATAGAAACAAAGTAACAATCCTACTACGCTGGTAGCTCTGAAATTCCAGTGTTGGTATCGATACTAACATATTTGTATTGTTCCGCCCACTTCTATTCAACAGGATTACCGCCCAGCAGAGTTTCATCAGAATGGTTAGAGAGGTTACGTCAGGGGTTTTTCTTATGCATGAATGATCGGTTTTGTTTTAATTATTATACTTTTAAAGTAGGGCTATGGGGTAGTTTGTGTGTGTTTACTTGCCTTTTGATGCGCTATATCCTTTTATATATAGGCTTACTCATCTTTTTGTTGTTACACATATATTTAATTATTTAAGACCAATAAAGATTTTAAAGAAACCGTCCATCGCACAGTGCCTGTTTGTCCCTGATATGAGTACCTAAAGTAGTTTCCTTTGAAATGCAGACTCTTCAGTCACATTACTGCAGGGGCCACTGAATGATTGGAGAACAGATGTTAGTGGTGCAGATATTTGGATCAGCCTTGTTCTAGCTTCTTTTGCTTCTACTGTTACAATCCTTGTGAATTTTACTAGTGTTACAATTAATACTTTTATTTATATTTGTTGATTTTGAGGCTTTATGCAGCCCTGGTCTGTATCTGATTACATGCAAGTTGCTCTGTGACTCCTTACTGTACATTGATCAACTTGCTATAAATAGATAAAACGTGATAATCCACATTTAAACACCTTTTTATGTCATCTGAAATCTCACCGCTAGGTGGCGTTAAAGTATGTTTGATCACATGGGCCCGTAGTATTTGTCACTGTCACACTATTCTTTCACTGTAATGGCCTGCCTGTCTACTCACTGGCTTAGCCAAATGTTGGATCACGGTGCACATTTTCTTCATTTTCTTTCTCCCCACGGTGATAGTGGGTCCACCTTCACGTGTCGTTGAATGTGGGTGGTACACACTGATACCATCATGCCATCGATGAACCGGTTTATCCATGTTTTCTTCACTTGATGCTGTAGGCATTTTATTAAATGCAGATTAACTTAGGAATGTATGACTATAGATTGTGACAGCAGATTTGAGCGATTCGGTTACTCTGAGTGTGTGTGAGTTTGTGAAATAAGAGTATTATTGTTGTTTTGAGTCAGGGCAGTGAAGTGAAGCTCAGCACTGGAGACGTGTCCCTTTTCAAAGGTAACACGTAAGCTCAAAACTTGTATAAGTGAGAAAATACACGCATTGGCCACTTCATTGGGTACAGCTGCTTGCTTATTAATAGGGGCCTTTCTAATTGGATTCTCTCCAGGTACTGGGACTGTGGGAGGAAGAAAGATTAGGTTAAGATTAGGTTAACTAGAGATTCTAAACTGTCCAAAGGTGTGAATGTGAGCACAAACATAGAGATGTTTTAGCCCTGTGACAGACTGACGACCCGTTCAGGGTATATCCTGCCTTTGATCCTATGACAGGTCGAATAGGCTCTCTTTCTTCCTTAAAGAAAAAAGGTTGAAATAATATGGTCAAGTTGACCTGGTGGAATTCAAACTGAGCATTAGAATGAGGAAGAAATGTGATTTAAGTGTATTTTAATGTGGTATTATTGTTGGTGTCAGACAGCTGAGTATATCAGAAACTGCTAATCTGCTGGGATTTTCACAACCATATCTAGGGTTTACAGAGAATGGTCTGAAAAAGAGAAAATGTCCAGTGAGAGGCAGTTCTTGCTGATTACAGTTGTTAGAGGAGAGTGGCCGAGAGTGGCCGGCTTTGAGCAGGTAGGAAAGAAAAAGGTAACTAAAACAACCACTCATTTTTGAATGCATAATACACCAAACCTCATTAAACCTTTGCCATAAAGAATTAAAGAAAATGTGAAGTTTGAAATAGGTCTAACTCAGTACTAGCAAGGTGTACCTAATAAAGTGGCTGATTAGAGTATAGAGGATCACTTCTCAGCCTCTTATACTTTGTGTGATCATCACTGTTGCATTGCCAGCAAGGCAAGGACACAGATATCAAACTTCAGAAAAGTCAAAAACCTCTCAGAGTCAGAGCTGACTGCCGGATTTATTCTGAGTCATTCACGGCGACAGATACTCACGAATAGGAGATTAGTCAGGCGGCAGATCGGGTGTATTTCACAGCAGAATATGTGAGAACTACAGGCGCGTATAATGTGAAGCAGAAGTACACACATGTATTTGGTAGCACATTTATTTTGACACAAAATCCAGTTTTCTGTTCAATAGAGTTAAGCAGACGTCTGCGTCCAATATCGCAGAATCTCAGTGATGATCAGTGAGATGGAAGAAATCTAAATACAACCCCACCTTCTAAAAAACAAAACAAAAAAACCCCCCAAACAAACAAAGCAAAAAAACATGATGGTGTGCAACCAAACAGACACAACAAACGTGAGAACATCTCACTCAGTATGCATCGGAAATCTCTGAATCTGCTTTACACCAAGATACAAAATCAACTTGATATCCATGATGACACGAAAAAGTTTTGGCTTTTTTTTTTTTTAAATCGACAGTTATTATGTTAACATTATACTCAACATTATCCTCACAATAAGCGACAGTGATTTTTAACAAGAAAACGGCACGGTTACTCTCTCACACATACGTACGACACGCTGAAGAGCCGCAGGTAGAATTGCACAAAGATACCTTCAAAGTACACCACATGTTGTAGTAATATTAATCGGAACTATTCCATGTACAGTCACATATACATACTGCTATATATGCTGCTGTCTCGTAGCTGCAGGAGTAGAAGGAGACAGTCTTGAGTTATCCTGAATCAAAAGGATTGGATGTTTTGTTTTTTGTTTTCTGGCAAAATGGTTCAACGGCTGTACCAATGTGAGGTTTGGGTTTTTTTTGTATTTTTATTCAATTCTTTAACTTTTGGCATTACAAAATAAAATCAGTACAAATATATAGTAGATACTATCTTCAGAAGGAGAGAACAGTCCTTTACAGTCAAAACTCGAGCGAGGTAACAGTCTTATATCAGGCCTTGGCCAAAGAGTGGTAACAAAGGTAAAATCTGGGGCATATTTCTCCACACAAATTGGCTTCTGACAAGGCGAGACAAATCAAACCGCTTCTATTTACACTGACGTCAAATGAAAGCAGGAGTCGGGATACAATAAACCCCAGTGTGTGACTCCTATGTTTCACCATCTTGTTCAGGTTCAGTCATAGAAATTAAACATCCATCCATCCGCTTTCCACCAGCTCATCTGGGGCTGGATCAAAAGGGAATCCCAAACCTCCCTCTCCCCAGCCACCTCCTTCAGCTCATTCGGGGAAAGCACCGAGGCATTCCCAGGCAGTGCTGAGGGACGTAGTGTCTCCGGCGTGGCCTGGGCCTACCCCGGGGCCTCTTTCCACGGGAGCATGCCCAGGAAATCTCACCCAGGAGGCATTCTAATCGGATGCCTGAACCACCTCAGCTAGTATCCGATAGATCCACACGCTAACTTTGTGTTTCTGTTAATAGCTTCTATGCCGGTAGTGCAGTGGTTGAACCTGTTGCCTCACAGCAAGAAGGTCTTGGGTTCAAATCCATGAAGTGTTTCTGGGAGTCTGCATGTTTTCCCTGTTCCTTCTGGCTTACTCTCAGACTCCAAGCATTGTAAATTGCCCATTCATATGAATATGAGACTGGCAACGTGTCCAGAGTGTACCCCACCTCTGCTCTATGGCAGCGGGCAAAGGCTCCAGCTAAGCCTCCATGACCCTGAACTGGATAAGCGGAAGAAAGTGGATGGATACTTTCTAAACTAATATCAAGAGGACGCCATATAAAAATGGTATTTTTTGGCCTCTTTTCTAAGTGTAAAATTTAAAACAGAATGATGCCCCTTAAGACAATTATCCTAATTAAAATCTACAATAAAATGTAAAAAACTAAGCACTCACTAACCAAAGCGTCAGTGACATTACAGCTCATTTGCTTCATGATCCATCACAGTTCAAAGGTTGTTGTAATGTGTGAAGTACAGAAAGAAAGCTGTGCGGCACTTTTGCACAAATGAATGATAATTAAAGTCGAGGGAGAAGTCAAGGAGGCTCACAAACAGTCGTATCCAGGATTATCTAGCCTTGCTTCACTAAAGACAGACCGATACTCCAGGAGGAGAAGCGATTCTTGTAAAAATGACTTGTACAGCCTTGACCTTGAGCACAGTGTGGGTGAAGACACATCAGGTGATCACTGTGTTTCATTAAAATCTGACCAGTACTCTGGGAGGAGTACGGATTCTTGTGAATTGCGGTGGGACAAACGGACGACGGATGCCTCGCTGTGGCGTAAGCGCACTGAACCTTCAGTCAGATGAGCTTAAAAAAAAATCAATACAAAACACTAAAGTTTAAGGTCAGTAACATGCAAGACACACACTGGGGCTTTAAAATACAACCCGATAATATAAGTTTGCACTTACGCCAAAGGCATTTTTTTTAAAAACTGCTGTGTTTGTACAATCGAGGGCCTTTGCCCAGCACAGCTAGCATATGAGTCATAAAGAGGTAAATGTCATTTCAGTTCATCTCATTTCCTGTCAGCCAGCATAAACCAGAATAAGGAAAAAAAGTGTGAATACTATTGCTAAATACTATTTTTGCAAGTCTCACATGTAATATGAGCATTTTAAAAAGAGACTGCTAAGTACTCTTAGAAAATATTTTCGCCATTCGATTTACAGCTATTCCTAATCCACACACACACGCACGCACACGCTCAGATTAGCTGGGAAACTACGGATTCCTAACAGAAAAATACTTTTTCAACTAGGCACCACTGATCAACGACACACATTACCTAAAACTAATGAAAATGAGAAGAAACGCAAGGCTCCAAAAAGGCTTTTTTGCCAGTATGTCCAGAGGATGAACCATCTTTGTCAGGCCATCAGCGAGTCACTGCAGAGGTGCTTTGAAGATGATCATCAAGAGATCATCAGAAAGCAAACTGCCACTCAAACTTCCATGCAAACTCACATCTGAATGTTCAAAAGAGCAAATGTGACTTGTTCTTTTTTAGGAGTGAACTGTGCTAAATTAGATTTCTCTCCACACTACTAAGAGTTAAAAGCTTTGCCCTTAGGCATTAAACAACTAGGGACACGAAAAAAGTGGCCTCCAGTCAGCGAACTACTGAGACCCTTGTCTCATAATAACAACTACGGCAAGACAAACATGTACAAATTGTGTTGTGAGACGCTCTCCGTTTATTTTTGAGCACATTGTTGTACTGACAGATAACTACGAGAGAGAACGTATGTGCTATCCCCCGCCAGGTGAGCATGGCAGGCTAATGCAATCCTTGGCCTTGCTCTGGATGTCAACTAGTCATCAACCAGGAGGCATTTAGAGAAAAACAGTCTGACTCTGCGAAATCCCGTTTTGCCACAGCAGTATTTAAAATAAAGGAGATTCTGTTCTGTGACTTCAGATGCTTCCATCGTACATTTACACCTTTGATATTTAACAAGTATCACTCGACACAAACAGTCATCACGATGGGCACGTCTTTCCAAAGTGACTTCTCGAAGCACACGCCTACAGACTGGATTGCCACGCTGGCATAACTCTGTTATTTTTTTTCTTTTTGTTAAAAACAAACAAACAAACAAAAAAAGCTTTCAGTCGAGCATCATGCTATAAAAAAATCCTCAAAAAACAGCTTTGAGTGCGTTTTTTTGTTGCAATGCATAACCTTTTACATTCATTATCAGTTTAGGCTTAAAGTGTGCGCCTAGTAAAAAACTCAACACGAGGATTCAGAGTGATATTGCCTTGCAAAAGGCAGGAGCACGTTAAAACTGCACTGAACCCAAAGACAAACAGCTGGCTAAGTATACAGTATACTGATGTAACAGTCCGAAACTATAATGTATAACTACAATATCATAGTAAAGCTTTGCCACCTGCACATTTAATTAAAGTTTGTACCCGCCCCCCTTTTTAAAAAAATCTTTAAGAAGGAGGCAACATAAGACACAAGGTATAAAACACTGACCCACTGAATCAATCTATGATAAGGGAAGTGGGCTCCAATAAAAAAAAGAAAAGGTCTTTCATGTTTTAATGCCTAAAAAGATGACCAATATTTTATGTTAAAATGTGTGGATTTGACAAAAGTCAGAATATTTTATATCCACAGGCTGGCAGCCGGTGATACGAGCTCCATTTCAGAGCTAAAAATGCTGCTTCGATGCTTCGTACAGAGAAACACTGACAAACATTTTATCATAGTGGCTCTAGCAAGAAAAGGATGCAGAAAGGGGAATTATTTTTAGGATTTTGAGCCATTTGCATTTTAAGAAAAGAACACCTCGTACTCCACAACAAACCCAAATCATCTCTTATAAATCACAAGAACTTTGAGGTCTGGGGATCCCAAAATAAAATACAGAGACCCCCTCCTAAAAATGTTACTCATCTGATCTGATGGCTTGCAGACATTTCTGTAAGCTCTCCAAGACTTTTCTTCAGTGATCACATTTTTCACTTCTTAAGTCTTCATCGACAGGCGGATGACAAATTAAAGGAAAACCCAGAAGCTGTTGGTATAGTTCACTCGTCTTATTAACGTAGTAGTCTTCCAGGGTTGTCCCCGTCCACAGGGCGGTCCATCAGAGGTCACTGGGTGGTTGGATGAGTATGAAAATCATGTCAATAATTTTGCTAATGCCTGTGCAGTCACCTGATCTCAGCTCAGTTATACACTAATGGAAGATTTTGGAGACTTTCTACAACCATCATCCAAATGCCCCTTTTTTTTTAAAGAAAAAAGGACAAAAAAAATAGTGTGCCATCCCTTCAGTAGATTTACAGAGATTTGTAGAACCAACACTAAGATGCAGTGAATCTGTTCTGATAGCTCAAATCTTCCCTAAGACCGATCGCTTTCTTTTTTTCCTTTAATTCGTCACTCATCCGGTTACAAAGGCTATCCCACTTTTCCTTCCTTCCATGGCTGTTTACTTACAGGGACTCCACAGTGATGATAGCCTCGTTTCTGTTAATGATGACGCTAGAAGGCGAAGAGACATGGCCGTGCTCCTCCGTGCAGTCGTCCGGCACGGACGACTGCGCGGCGACCTTCTTTTGCTGGGAACAGTCCACGCCGTCCTGCAGCACCTTCTCCCCTTCCTTCACGACATCTTTCCCTCCCTTATCGAAGCGCCCCTTCTTTGGGTCCTCATCCTCTTGTTGCCCTCTTTTCACATGGCAGCGGCACACCTCAATACCCGAGTCACCCGTCAGCCGTCGATGCCGGAAATGGTCCTCCTCATCCTCGTCTTCGTCGTCGTCCTCCTCTTCTTCTTCTTTTTCCCTTTTTTGCTCCTCCTTGCCGCCGCAGTGCACAGAGACAGCCACGTTTGATAAGAGGAGAGCCTGCTTAGGAGCTGAGTGCAGGGGCCTGGTTTTTGGATCATGAGGTGACGTCTCTTCTTTCGCTCTCTGAAGAGCCATGGCTCCGAGTGGGTCCGATGGAACGAGAGGGTGGACTTGACCAGCGGGAATTGAAGATAGCAGCGAGAGGGGAGAGAGCGGAAGGCGAGAGGAGTGTGAAGGACGGGAGTGCAAAGTGAGAGCAAGTGGATGAGATGGAGGCGAGACTCCTTCACTACCGTTAGAGGAACATCTCTGCACCGGAATGACATCTGGAGTGACCGCAGGTATAACATCAGGTGGAACCTGCGAGGGTGGCGATGGCATCAGCGTGAAGGGGACCCCGACCCTTGGCACCACGGCCAAATCTCCTCCTGCTTCACTGGGCGTGGACATGTGGCTGCTGTCGTACGTCTCATCCGTCACCTGGACAGAGAAGGAGGTGCTGGATGGGGAGGTGAGGGAGCAAGACTCACAGGAGCAGCTGGTGTAGTTATCAGAGCTCTGTGAGGAGGTCAGACCGCTGGGGCCGGGGCCCAAGTAGGGAGGGCAGGGGTGACGGTGGTGGTGATGATGGGGGTAAGAGGAGCTAGGACCTACTGTGGCACCTCCCTGCAGTGCAAAGATGGAGCTGTAAGGAGGGGGCGGGGTGCTGGGCTGCGCAACAACCTCCTCGTAAGAGGGCAACTTGAAGGAAGCCAGAAAACCTGTGACGAAAGAAACACACTTTTAGGCTTCAGCTCCGGGTACGCAGACTAGTGTTACATGTCAGTTAGCTTTCTCATGGGGTTATGCCTCATTGGTGTGGTGTGGCAAGCTCATTTGTAGTCGAAGCTTACTCCTCCCACATGCCAGGGCGGAGAGGGAGCTTCACGGTGAGATGGGTATGAGTGTGAACCTGCTGGCGTCACGCTCCTTTGGTTTTGTGTTATTTTTAGAATCTGTGAATTTTTCCTTCCCAATTTCCGTCTGAAGGTGTTTCTGCTATTCTATCATGTGATGTCTATATTTTTCAAGTTTTGGGTTTGAATTCTTTACTATTCTATAGAGTGATCTCTGGCTTTACTTTATTCTTGTTCTCCTGAAGTCTTTTAGTTTTTGTGTTTTAGGTTCTTATCTCTGTTGTAAGTCGTTTTCCTTTGGGTCACAGTGGTCCCTCGTTTATTGCGGGAGTTACGTTCTAAAAATAACCCACGATAGGTGAAATCCACGAAGTAGCTAACTTTATTTTTTACATTATAGATGTTTTAAGGCTGTAAAACCCCTCACTATAGGGTTGTGCGATATGACCAAAATCTCATATCCCGATATAAGAATTTTATCGTCCCGATAACGATATAAATCACAAAAATGTAACATTTTCTGTAAATTCTGTGAATCTCGACTTGCCGGAAGTGTTTCCAGCTGCGCGTCATGTAGCTGGAGTCGAGTGTTTTAACCGATGCATGAAACGATACATTTTTAGACACAAGTTGTAACGGCCGCTGTTTTCTTTGTGAGTATTTATTACACGACGTGCTGCAGGGAAAAGCCTGTTCTAACTTTTGAGTCTAAGGTTTATTTTTTAGCACCTGACGGCTCTTTTTTACTTGTCATCCGTAAATAATCTGCTCTTTCACGTGATTCAGTTTATTTTGAAAAGTCTCAACAGGATCTTGAGCTTTATTGTGAAAACTGTAAAAAAATAAATAAAATAAAAAAAGCATGCAAAATTGCACACAAAAAAATCTGTGAAACAGCAAGGCCGCGAAAGGTGAACCATGTTATAGCACCACTGTATTTCTATTTTCCTTCCATAGTTAGTCACATCAAGACTCAAGAAACAATTTTTTTCCTATTACTTTCAGCAGTGCTTGTTCTCCAGCCGTCTTTCACTTCCCTAATTAACTCACAGTTTATAAATAGTTCAGTCTTCCTTATTGTCTGCTGTACCTCATGTTTCCCTTGAAAGTTTTCTAGCTCCTGTGTTTCATTTCTGTTGCTACATCAGTTATCAAAGTTTTGTATTTTCTAATACATGTCCATCAAAGCCTCCTCAGGCAAGCTGCAATAACATCTTTTAACAGATACTAAAACTCAGGATGTTTGCTCTCCATTTTTATTTTGTTTTAGTTCACAAAATTGGTTAATTTTTTTCCTTCCAAAAGTCTAGTTTTTATTTTTATTGTAGTTAACTAAAACTAGCTGTGCAAAAACATAGTTAAGTATGAAACCTTGTGCTACATCTGGTGTTTGTTTACCACTTCTGGAATAGTTGGACGTATATGACGCAGCATGTGAAAGACCATCCAAAATGATAACCTTTAACTTTGTTTCCTAAAATGTCAAAACTTCTAGATTAACGTAATTTTTAACTGTGTCCATTCTTTGCGTGATCACGGTTTAATAACAATGCAAATAGGTTTCACTAGGTTTACAAGAAGCTGTCAATCGATCACAGTCCACACAATTTTTCACCACAGGCAAAAGACGGAAAGCATCACTAATGGAGTAAATCTGCGGTAGACTTGAGAGATGTTTGCCGATAATAGAATTTAGATAACAAACATGTCCTCAAATGCATCTTTGCTCTGAGTTCTGTCTGTGCCTTTGGCTGGCTTTTGCGCTGCATCACACACTGGTGAGTTGCAAACAGACTGATGTGCACACCAAAAGCTTCTATATGAAGATTTTTACTCGCTGTTACATTAAAAGCATGAGCCTCTTTCCTCAATTTAAAACTCCACAAAACAGTTCATTTAACAAAACATGCTTACATTTACTGCTTTATTACTTCCGTATGATGCCTGTTAACAGACTTATTTTGAAGTATCTAAATGTAGGCATATTTCTATTTCCTCAGAAAAAGTGGTGCAAGGAAATCATAACGCATGCAAAGTCTGTGGAACTGATTAATTTAGTATTCAAAAGCTACAGCATGTGCGATTTAAAATGAAGCAAACATACTGAGGTCCAGCATTGATGAAGGGTAGTTGCAAGCGCCGTTGTAAGCGATCAGATTGATTTCTCTTTGCCTCTGCTGCTGTTGAATTCTCAGCTTGGCCCGGCGGTGGCGGTAAGCACAGAAACAGCTGAAGAGGATCAGCACCGTCCACAAGAGCCAGAACCCTGTAGAAAACAGGAAATGAGTGGCCATCGAGATAAAGAAAACAAACAAACAAAGAAAACGTAACCTTCAGGTCTGTTAGCTGAATTTCATCTCAGATTTACTCGGCTTTCACACAAGTTTTGCTTTTTATCAAAGGACTCATTGAGCTTTCAGGCGCATCAGGTAACCAACAGCCCAGAGCACACACTATTCAAATTTTCTGTTTGTGCAAGCGAGCCAATCCTAAAACAGCTGTCTTAAAGACGGGGGAAGGACACATAAAAGCACCGCACCAAGGCACATTTCAATAAGGAGAGATAAGGAAGAACTGAACACGATTTATGGAGGAATGTGACTAGACTCTGACGACCTATCACGGCAGCGGGGAATCCCAGCGGCAATAGGATTTAGGACAGGAACACCCAGGGTGGTTGCGAAGATGAAGACTGAGGGTTGGGAAAGTGGTAGCAATGTAAAGACCAGAAAGCAGCCGAACCCCCAAGACGACAGATGATAGATTACAGATCTTCCTTACTGAACGTAAACATTAAGGATTATTTTAAACTGAACCATGTAAGAACTAGAAACACTCGAAGAGCGCAAACCTCCACCAAGAAAGGAAGATGTGTAACATCAAAGTGAGGTCAGAGGTCAAATATGACATAAAATCTGGATGCAAACTATAATGTGATATTTTGAATCTGAACATAACAGTATCATCTCCTACAGGTTGCCAATATTAACAAAATTTAAATTTTTGAAATTTGACCTTGTTTGAATTTAAAGGAGAGGTCAGCGGTCCGAAGTAACATAATATTTAAAATCTCCATATATCGTTCCCTATATGTCCATATGCTGTCAATAAAAACACTTTGGCCTTCAAAACAATCTACTGAATTTAACCTCCTAAGACCCGAACTCTTTCATGGCATGCATTTTTAAATTCTCTTTGCCATTTGGGCTGATTGGGACCTGATTAATGTAAAAAGAAAGAATTACCAGATTTTTTTTTTTTTTTACCTGATTTTTGTTTCTGAGAGAAATGAGATCCACATATGAGGATATTTGCTTTAAACTTTGATAGAACAGAGGTAGTATAATGTCCTCGTAAGTGGAAATCAGGCCCTTGTAGAGCAAAATTTTGTATTTTGGTCTAGACAACCCAAAATGTGCTGTCCACATATGTGGACGCCAGGTCCTAGGAGGTTAAAGTAGAGGTCAAATGTGACAATGTGGTATTTCCTATGTTTTTGCAGTACACATCTAATTTGTAAGCATCATAGTTTCTAGGTTAGAATGTTTTTTGTCAGTTTTCGACCATTAAATCATTAAGTTGACATCGAAAGTCTTAGTAGTGTTTTAATGGGTCTATTAAAAGAAACCAGAGATTTCTTCTGGTTCTTCCTGTTAAAAGGGAGTTTTTCCTTTGAACTGTCACCAAGTGCTTGGTCATCTGGGGTTGTCTGAGTGTTTATTATGATTATGATTATTATGATTATTATGATTATGATTATGATTATGATTATTATTATTATAGGGTCATGTTGTTGTGATTTGGTGTTACATAAATATAACTGAATTGAATGTAAGCCAAATTTTAATGGATTGTTAACATGACCCCACTCTACACGCCTACGATGTTTTATCAGAATTCATTCGAAGCTTTTTAATGTACCACGTTTACAGACAGGAAGAATGACAGCTACCAAAGGCTATAAAAAACATCACCTCCTTGGCGGAGGCAACAACATTAGTAGATTATGAGACCAGGACTTTAGAGCTGCAGGTAAGCATAATAGGACACCTTGAATGTTTCCCAGCAGGTCTGAGTAATGAACGATAAACAGCCATTAAATCAGAACCCTTTCCTCAGTAGCACAGCAGAGAAGAAGCGGTCAGTTGACTCACACCAGAGTTCATAGTAGTAGGTGCAGCAGCCCGTCTCCCCGCAGCAATGTCCCGTTTCACACAGGTAACCTGGACTGTTGTTCACTCCAGGACAGTACTTTGGATGCCTCGCCATCTAATAGATAAAACACCACATCGCAATGTAACCACAGTGGAAATATTGTAGGAAGGTCTAAACTGGAGCCCAGTGCTAATCGTTGCACCGCCAAGATGCCCAAAATCCACTGTGGAAACTCTGATCAGCAAAAAAGAAAAAAAAGAAAAAGCAGCCTCACTGACAAAATAGTAAAATTACAGTAAATCTATTTAGCTTGCCTGTATAGATAACACATCTGGTATTCCTATGCTCTATCAATTTCTTCCCCCACTCCAATTACAAAGCAACATTTGCTTAATTTGCAGATGATGTCCCCTCTCTCTCTTTCTTTCTTTTTACGTCTATTTTGGTTTTGGTGTTCACAGATGGATCATGAAGTTAACCATTTATTAGTTGTGTCTTTCTGTTGTTTGTTAATGAAGCACACAGTAAGTCTAACCAAACTTTAAACTACTGATACACACACACTTTTATGTGTACCTGAAACCTTAGAAATAAAAAATAGTTATCAAAAGCATCATCAGGTGGAAAGTATTATTTTATATTTCATATTAAATCTCTGATACTTTTCTGTTAACAATGAAATAAACAGTTATTGCATCTGTAATCTTACTTTTTATATGAGTGCATATTTAATGGCAGCTGCGGGTAAAAAAGTGTTTTAAAAAATGTTTTAAAAAGCCTCCCACCTTATTGATTGTGCTCATTTCGATCTGTTTCACAGGCACCTATAGTGAGAAAGGGAAGAAACTAAAGCAAGTGAAAACCCAAACATTAAAAATGTGCACATCATAAAAAGCTTTTACATTATAACAACCTCAATGAGCTCAGACACTTGAGCAAAGCCATAAACCATACTAATAAAGCACTGAGGAGAGGTTGCTAAATCTGTCATGTGCATAGTTACCACACAAGACCCAAGTGCTAACAAATAATTATGCATTACTATAGCAACCACTGAGGAAAAGGCTCTGAGGCCTTTTTACCCGTGTGGACAATATTTAGTTGTGGTTAAAGGTTGAACTCCCTACCGTAGCTTCTTCGGTTACATCCAGCCCTTGCAGGGACATAGTCATCTAGTAAAAGGCAGAGAGAGAAAACAGTTAAAATAGAGCTTAAAAAAAGTAAAGGGAAAACAAAAGATATGATGTGTTGTTATTACAGTAATTCAAGCATATAAAATTGGCCACTAAAGACCCATTTTCCAGTATTAAGCCGGTGGCTACTACTGACTTTTCAAGAAGAAAGAAGGGAAGGTCGCTCATACAACCGTTCCCTGTGCGCTCCCCGTTTCAAATACATGCCTGTAACTACCAATTATTTTCATTACTCATTAATCTGTTAGTTAACTGTTAGAGTCATAAAACATCAGAAAAGTACCCCACGTCTATTCTCAAAGCTCAGCTTCACTCATATTTTGATTGAAACAGTGCTGATCACAGTCTGCATACTTTGTGTGTGTACAATGCGCACATATCTGTGCAACTATTCTGAGTACCAGAATCACCTCTGCTCTCTATTCATGTCAGTGACCTAAACGTTCATGAATAATCCAACTCCACATGCTTCTCTGACAGTGAAGCGTATTTAGCCAAGAGACACTTGTGTTTACTGTTATTTAGTATAATATGTGGCACACAACTCTGCAGTACTGTATAGTATCCACTTGTAACACCTGATGCATCCACAGGGCAATTAACATTGCATCACAAAACATTATGTGACATTAGTGGAAGAGTATCAACCTGACAAGGGCAGACAGGCTCCAAATAAGTACCTGGCATTATAGCAGACACAGGAAAGGATACATAACTCACATTTTTCTCATCAGAAACTGGTGCGGTAGATAGAAATATGTGTATATGATTACAACCGCTTTCCTTGAGATGCTTTTATAGAAAACTGCTTTTCAATTCAATTTTATTTATATTACACCAAATCACAACAGCGGGAAAAACGTTGTTTCAGGAAGAAACCTGAAACAACGTTTCTTCCTGGGGGTGACGGGAGGGATACAGGAGAAAAGACACACTGTGGAAAAGAGCCAGAGATTATTAATAACTAATGATTAATCCAAAGTAAATGTAGAGTGCTGTATAAACAGTGTGAGTGTGAGTAGGTGAAAAAAGATAGGTGGAAAAGAAACTGTTCAGATGGGAATCTTATGGGAAGCCCTCCAGCAGCCTTGGCTCGTTGCAGCATAACTAAAGGAGGATTCAAGGTCACCCGATCCAGCCCAAACTATATACTTTATCAAACTGGGAAGTTTTAAGCCTAATTTTAAAATTAAAGAGGGTGTCCGTCTCCTGAATCCAAACTGGGAGCTAGTTCCACAGAAGAGAAGCCTGAAGGCTGAAGGCTCTGCCTCCCATTATACTTTTAAATATGCTAGGAACTACAAGTAAGCCTGCAGTCAAGAGGGAGCCACTGAAGAGAAACTAATATGCTTCCTTTTTCTAGTCTCTGTCAGTAGACTTGCTGTAGTATTTTGGATAAACCAAAGGCTTTTCAGGGTGGCACGGTGGTTAGCACTGTTGCCGCACAGCAAGAAGGTCCTGAGTTCAACTCCACCATCAGGCCGGGGTCTTTCTGTGTGGAGTTTGCATGTTCTCCCCATGTTTGCGTGGGTTCCCTCCAGGTACTCTGGCTTCCTCCCACAGTCCAAAGACATGCAGTTTGTGGGGATCGGTTAATTGAATAATCCAAATTGCCCAGCGTGAATGGTTGTCTGTCTCTGTGTGTTAGCCCTGCGACAGACTGGCAACCTGTCCAGGGTGAACCCCCCATCTCACCCTATGACAGCTGGGATAGGCTCCCGCGACCCTGAAAAGGATAAGCGGAAGGGAATGGATGGATGAAGGCTTTTCAGTGAGTTAAGGGCAACCTGATAATAACAATGCATTACAATAGTCCAGCCTAGAAGTATTAAATGCATGATCTAGTGTAGAGCTGGGCGATAGAACGATAACGATATGTATTGCGAAATTAACTTTTCTATCGAGGAAAAGTTAAACTATTGCGACAGGCCTCGTCTCTCTTGTCCTCTTTAAAAAAAAAGAAAAGAAAAAAGAACAACAGCCAATCCAAATTAAGTAGTGCAGAGCCAAACCAATCACAGCCGCAGCGTCACGTCACGTGACTTGTTACGTACAGCACAAGTGCCAAGCCGCACATGTGTATTTGTTTGGGAAGCAGCCAGCCGCCGTGCCGCCCGGGTAATGGAGGAAATGAGTGTGCCGACTAGAGAAAAATCAACCGAGAGCGTGACCGAAGGTTACCGAAGAGAAAACAGATGATGGTTCCAACGCCGGAGAGATTGTCGAACAGAAGGGCCATAGAAGTTCCGTAGTGTGAAGGTATTTCGACTATTTCAAGTCTGACAAAAAAACAGAATAGCGCGCACTGTAAATGTGCCGAAAGCAAGTCTGGAAATACAATAAAGCGGTGCATGCTGAATCTCTGACTGGAAGCGCTAATTCGTCATTCGGCTTTTGTCAGACTAAAGTAACTGTTAAAACTGTTTGAAAAGCTCAGCTATACAACAAGGAGAGATTGGGAATTTCCTTTTAGTTCTCAGTTTATTTGATATTGACAAAAGTTAGTCAGTTTTGTCTGTTCTTCTGTAAAACAAACTAAGATTTATTTATCTGAAAAAGTCTCATGTTCCTTAAGTACACCTATCCTGTTGAACTTATTATGGGAAATAAATATTTAAATAAAAACAAGCTGCTGGTTATTTCACATTTTACTTGTGAGCAACGGCACATTTAAATCTTACAAATATAGTTATTTGGCTTATATCGTGATAGATATCGTTATCGCCTGAAATGAAAAAAACACATCGTGATATGAAAAAATCTTATATCGCCCAGCTCTAATCTAGTGTTTCAGTGTCACTCTGAGACAGGATGTTTCTCATTTTAGAGATGTTGTGGAAATGCAAGAAAGCAGTCCTACATATTTGTTTAAGATGCGTTTTGAAAGGCATATCCTGGTGAAAAAATACATGAATAAACCCCAAGAGTCCTTAGTGTTCCTGGAGGCCATCCAGAGTAAGCATCTGGTTAGACACCATGTTTCTAAGATTTCTAGTACCAAGTACAATGACTGACTTTAGAAGCAGGAAATTAGGGCCTCATTGTCTTTGATACAGTATTTGGCATTTGTCATCTAGCTTCATGGATAGATAAAGCTGGATGTCATCTGCATAACAGTGAAAGTATATGCTATGCAGTATCGAATGATACTGCCTAAAGGAAGCATGCATAATGTAAACAGAATTGGACCTTGCACAGAACCAAGTGGAACTCCATAATTAACCTTAGTGTGTGAAGATGACTCCCCATTTCCATGAACAAATCAAAGTCTATTACAGTAACAGTTGTCTCAGGGTGCTGTATATTATAAATTAAAGCCCCTATATTGTTAGTAAGAGAACCCTAATCCTCACACAATCCATTGTAAGCAAGCATTTGGTGACAGTGGGAAAGAAGAACTGCTGTTTTAACAGGATGAAATCTCCAGCAGAAGCAGCCTCAATGAGGGGCAGCCATCTACCACGTGGATATAAGAGGAAGTACTAAGGAAAATGAAGGGAAGTATAGGGGAACCACAAATGATAAACAAGGCAATAAACAAAGAGGCAGCAGATAATAGTTTCTGACATGCAGTAGTTGGATATGTTGTTTGTCCCTTCTCTTTCAGCTCTCTTTTATAATTTAGGCTTACGCCTTTGGAGGTTAACTAGAAGACTGGATGTGGTAATGAGATGACCCTCAACAAACTGGGAGCTGAAGGCTCTGCCTCCCATTCTGCTTTTAGAAACTCAAGGAATCAAAAGTAAGCCTACAGCTTGAGAACAAAGTACTCTCTTAGGATATTATGACACTATGGCGTTTAAAGATATAATAAGGCCTAACGGGATTTTGTTTTTTAAAAAGAAAGATTTTAAAATGAATTCTGGACAAATACAGTAGAGATTCTTCTGTAAACTGATAAATATTGGGTTATGTTACCTACCGTTGCAAATACCAGTGTCAAATGTAACAACCTCTGGGGACTTGGCCTATACTGATGGAAAACATAAAGAGTCAAGACAGGAAATGTTCTGTCATAAATACCATCAGGTTGAGTTCCTATGTGCTTCCTGAGAGGTAAGCCCACCACACGGCACAGGATATGCATACAAGTGTGATGAAAAGTCATTCAGGCTTCCTCAGATACCGCAGACTAACCACAAATGATTTCCACCCAAGGTCCTGACAAGTCTCCATAACTTTGCTTACAAACCCTCCCAAAAGAATAGTAAAAAACAAACAAATAAACAAAAACAAAAAAAACCAAAATTATGTGCAAATGGCATCATTTTACTTTCAAAGCTTTTCTTAGCAAAGTCAACCAGTTCCCCAATGTTTAAAATGTAAACAGACCAAGTTCCTCGAGCAGGAAGAACACTGAGGAGGCTCAAGTGTTATACACAAATATTTACTGCAACAAGGCCAACCAAGGAGGACAGAGTGCAACAAAACAGGTCAACATGTGAAACCACCGTCCAATACGACAACAGGACACATTTATACAAACACAATTCATTCATGTGTACTGCACAGTTTTTCCCTCTCTGAAATAGTGCAGGTAAAGTGCTGTGAAAAGTATTTGCACCTTTCCTGATTTCTTTTTTCCCTCCATATTTATTACACTTACATGTTTCAGATGTTTTTAAATCATGATTTGTCCAAACCTACCTGGCACTATGTGAAAAAGTAATTGCCCCCCTTGTTAAATCATGAATGAACCACATTGACCATATGAGTTCAGTTTTACTTGCCACACTCTGGCCTGATTAATGGTGGACCTGTTGAATCAAGAAATCACTTAAACAGAGCCTGGAAAGGGTACAAAGCCAGTTATAAAGCTTTTGGAGTCCACAGAGTCACAGTGAGACCTATTATTCACAAATACAGAAAAACGATTATTTGTCTGCAGACAGACGCTGAGTCGCTACACTCCTGCATGTATGCTCAGTAGGCACCACTGAGTGTCTCTGGTAAATGACCTCTGAGAGACCCCTCCTCAGACTGACCTCTTGTGACCCTGCCTAAGGAAATAATTATCAGCAACTGGAAGCCCAAAATAACCATTGTGTAAAACAGTCTAGTATTCAGACCTTTCTCTAGCACATTCCACTTCAGAGCCTTAAAATGCTCCACACTTTATATTTTCTCATGACCAAGCTGAATTTTAGTTAAAAAGTCAATGCAACAGCATCAGCAAAGCTTCTTTATTTTACCCTCAAAAAGTCATATTCATTCACTTTCATTTCCCTTAGTTATCCATGCCTCAGCAGTTTGAGAGTCACTGCAATGCTACAGTAAATAATTACTCACAATGTCAACCATCACAAATACAAACAACCTAAATGGAGCCCTATTTATCAACCGAACAGAGACACCCAATTAATCTGCCTGTGAAATAAACCACACAGAGTAACAACAGCAATCAACAATTAATCAGAAGACTAGCAAACAAAACAACGTTACGACCTGCCTGTGAGAAACTCAGCGGCTGGTAGAGAGGGGGAAACTTATCCATATCATGGAACCGCAATGTGTGGGAGAAGCAACAATGACATTTAAAATCCTATCCAGCCAGAGGTCAAAGACACACTTTTATGTTTCCATGGAGTTGCAAGACACTCAACTCAAGACACTCACACACTCAACGGCATAGCAGGTACTTTCCCTCGTTTCCCTAAGGGTCACTGCAACGGATGGATTTTTAAAATCTTAACAACATCAACAGTTTGCATATTACGATGAGTAATTGACTATAAATAAATAAAAGCAGCTCTTGTGAGTCTTTTTATTAAAGTAAGATCAAGCTATGTAAAAGCTTAATTGTAAAAAAAAAAAAAAGTTGGGATGTTGAGTAAAACTTAAATAAAAATAGAATCAATGATTGCAAATCTCATAAAATTGTACTGCAGGCAGGCCAGTTCAGCATCTGAACTCTTTGATTTGGAAGCCATGCTATGTCATAGATGCAGTTTAGCGTTGTCTTGTTGAAATATGGAAGGCCTTCTCTGAAAAAGGCATCTTCTGGATGGGAGCACATGTTGCTCCACCATTAATGCTAAACTCTTTCAGCACTGAGCGAGTCTTTCCAGATGTGAAAACTGCCACGTCGACTGGTGCATGCCATCAGCGATGCTGACCTTTGAACTGAGCACTGATAACAAGCTGGATGCTCCTTTTCATCTTTAGTACGGAAGACGTGGTGTCCTTGTTTTCCAAAAACAAGTCTAAAACGTTAATTTCTCTGACCACAGAAAAGCTTTTTTTAAAATACACCACAGTCAAAAAGCTTTGGTCCAGAGAAAGATGGACTTTCTGGATCATGTTCCCGTCTGGCTTTGTTTTTGCTTGATAGAGTTTTAACGTGCCTTTGTGCATGGCATGGTGAATTGTGTTCACCATGATTTCTGGAAGTGTTCATGAGCCCCTGCTGTGATTTCCATGACAGAATCATTCCTGTTTTTAAATGCAGATCCACTTGAGGGCTGGAAGATCGTGAGCTTTTTGGCCTTGTTCACTGCACACAGAGATTTCTCCAGATTTTCACAGTCTTGATGATATTATGGATTGTATATGATGAGATATTCAAAGTCTTTCCAATTTTACATTGAAGAACATTATTCTGAAATAGTTCTGCAACTTGTAGACAGCTTTCTGCATTACTGGTGAACCTCTCCCTGCCTCCCTAAGATGCTCTTTTTATACCCTATGATGTTACTGATCTGTTTCCATTTAACCAAATTATTTGGAAAATTTTCTTCCAGCTTTCTTTTTTAGCACCACATACTTTTCCAGCTTTTTGCTACCCACATTTCCGCTTTGAAATGTGCTGCTGTCTTAAATTCTTAAATTCAATTCAGCTAAATTTTTTCATGATAAAGTAAAATGTCTCAGTTTAAACATCTGATGTGTTTTATATGTTCGACTGCAAATAAAATATAGGATTATAAGATCTGCATTTTACACAGTCTCCCAATTCATTTAGAACTGGAGTTGTATTCACTGAATACTTTCAGACAACACACTCAAAGCAGAGAACAACACAGTCATTGAACAAACCACTTCCCCAGTTCAGTAGAATAATGTTCTTCTTCTTAACAGCCAAGATTCACAAGGTGTCTTGCATTAAAAAGCTCTTGTTTGTCCATTTGCAGGTTTTTAAGCCACATTGCTAAACAAGGAATTTTTACTTGTCCACAAGTCTTGAAAACTACAATCTAAAACTGAAATACGGCAAATCATAACCAAAAATTCATTAATTTAGTGTCTAAGTTTAAATTAATATAAACCAAGAATCTTTGCTTTATCTTAAAGGATTTGCAAACCAATCCTGTTATGTCTAAGATATTCGTTGTACACGACCACGTCTTCAAGTCAAACTTACAGATATTTTGCATTGGCCACAGACTTACAGACAGCCTTCCCAATGTTAAAAATAATTAAATATAAAATAAAACAGAGACCTAAGCTGACTGACTGCAGTGGTGCACAAATACACGTGCTGTCTCGTGTATGTCACAGATGTAATGACCAAAAGGTGACGAAATAAAAATAATAATAATATGCCGAGGTCACTGCTGTTTGTCAACAACCCCACAGGCCGAGGGAAGCATGTTGCTCTGCAGAACAGCTGCTGACAGCTGCGTGCGCATCAAATGTAAAGCTGTGCAGTGCATTACCTCCATAGTCTGCAGCCCGTGGCAGAAAGTCAGTGTTTTCTCTGGATCCATGGCTAAACCCTCATCACCACTGTCCCATTCCACAGACAAGACAGCATCCCCATCCGCCATTCCCCCCAAACGGGCTGATGCCCCTCCCCGCCTCCGCTGCACGCTCCGGTGTACTGGGGCCGCTCTCTCGGTGTATTTTACGGCTGGACCTGCGCAAATTCACAACACAGACGGCTCAGTCGGCTCCTGTTGTTTGCTGTAGTAGAAGGAAGATGTTTCACTCGTAGAGACGGACGGAGCCGAGCATGATGTCATGCTTTTTTCCCCCCAGCCACCACAGTACTTACACGGGAGCGCTGTATGCTTTGATTGGCCGGAGCTCCCAGCAACAGCCTCAGAGAGGCTGCTTTCACGGTCCACACGGTGTTGCTCTATTAAACACAAATATAACCACAACGAAATAAATAGTGGCAAAAATATAAGAGCTTTGCCCGGGTATGTTTTTTTGCTGAGGCAAAATAAATGTCTGAATCTACTTAGTTTATATAAATATTAACAAATTAGTATTGAAATTATGAAAATAATGTTCTTAAGAGCTCAACTTTTGTAAAACTTTTGCAGCACACCTACCTGTATCAGATGCGAGTTAAGTTTTCAGTTCTATTTGACATTATTTAATAATATAACTTCCAAATAAACTGCATGCATCGCAACATTTCGGAACGTTTATTTACAACGGAACTGCTTCGATACTGTAATTATTAGCCGCAAAAAGCTGTGACGGCCTCCTAAGGCTAAATTGCTTGTTAAGTCCCAGCCAATCAGAATGCCCCCTGTTGCCACGAGGAGGCTGCTGGCGTGCAGCACGAGCGGAAACGACCGCTGCTGAAGGACAGTGACATTGATTGACAGATCGATTTATTTATTAATTTTAATGTATTTTTTTCAGGTATGCGCGCGCGCAGGCAACCACGTAAAGTAAGTAAATTTAAAAATTGTTGTGCTTTATGTTGTTGTTCGTTTATGCTGTGTTTGTTACAGGGGCGTAACAAGTCAGTTCTAGGCCCCGAAGCAGATATCTGTGTACAGCTTTAGCCTTGAAGTGGAGCAGCATGGAAACTGTACAAGCAATAGATAGAAGAAGAAGAATGAACATGGAAAGCTTGAAATTAGCTGAATACAAAAGGCCAGAACAATTGGAAAAAATTGCAATTTTTCCAGTAAAGTTCAACAATTGAATCGAATATTTTTGAACTTTACTTTCTTTGAAGCGCTGAAAGGATCAATACTGAATTTGTTATTTGCTGTCTTTTGAAAATGAATTTCAGATATGGAATTTATGCCTTTTTGTTATTGTAATGTCTTCACTGACAACCAAAGTCAGAGGTCAGGGGATTAGGCGTGTTCACGTTAGCTTAACTACACTTTGGCTCCTCCATCAGTCAGACGTTATGCCTTTGGTTTGTTACATGGTAACTTTGTCCAAGTTGTTACTATTTTCACTGCTTAGGCAGTGTTTCAATTAATTTGTTGTTGCATCCACCCGTTTTTGGTGTCAGTGGTTGTGAGGAAAAGTGACCAAAATTGTTAAATAGAAATCATCTAATTTTTTTTATCGCATTTGTCAGCATTTTTGTTTTGTTTTTCTATTGGTTTGTATGACTTAATGCGTATTCTGTCCTAAAACCCAAATTCCAAATCCTTTCATCAACTGTGCTGCCAAACCCAACGTGGGTAGAAACATAGCCAGCAGTCCACCACAAGAGGGCAGCAGACAACATGCTTTTGCTTTTGGAGGCTTTTTTCCCCCTTCAGGGTTCAATGACCTGTTGTGGAAAACAACACTTAAGCTCAAAGTGAGCAAAACGAGGGTAGTTACAGATGTATACATTTGTAGTTAAGGAAGTCATTTAGTCTTTTTTGTCTCTTATTCATTGTGATGCACAGCCTCTCCTTATGTTCTCTTCAGTAGGTGTGTTTAAAACCCTTGAAACAAAAGGTTAAAAAAAGACTCTCTAAGCTGCTTTTGTTGCCACACCTATAGTTTTCTCCACGTTTCATACCTGTGGTTGAAATCCCTCACTGTGTAATGCACATTTTAGAGCTTACACACTGGTTTTGATTCATCTTTCTAAGGTAAACCCAGTTAATTAGCATGGATTATAGGTTGCACTCATTATAAGGGTGTGTTATCTACTTTATTTGTAAAGGCACATGTGTTGAGATGGTGTCACAAATGAACTTTAACATTTCTCAGTTTTAGTGAGTATGCAAAGTTTGAAAATGTTTGCAGCTCCACACACACGAGCCAAGACAAATAATTTCTTTCCTTCCTTCTTTTTATACTGTCGCCTCATACCAGCTCAACTGTGGCACTGGACCCAGGTTTACTGTAATTTACAGAGCACTAAAGAGAAGACGATTGGTCAACTTGTTTGTGACAAAAATACACTTCCTCCACTCCATTTTATGCACATGAATGCCCACACGCACACATACACACACACATAAAAAACAATATGCTTTTGCATACAAGAAACGGTCCAGTTTCTGTTTAGAATTCGCACACTTCATTGTAAACTTTTACATCCCTCGACTGATTTGTGAGTCAAACTGTGCAATATGATTTAGAGGAAACTCAAAATGAAACTAATTTCATATTTTGTGTATTTCCACAGTGAGGTTGGTTTTCTATGTAATAATTACTCTGGCTAATTGCTTTGTAACTTCTCTGAAGTTCATGAAATTTCCAGGTTACATAAATTTCACGCTAACTGTCTGAGACGTGACCATGCAGCACATGTCTTCCTCTTCTTCCTCGCAGTCTCACGTCAGAGTGTTTTCTCTTTAAATCCTGAGAGGGGAAGTAGGTACTGCACAAAGCAACATACATGCATATATGTCAGAATAAGGCTGGCATCCAGATCCAGCAAATCATTTTTCTACAGGCATAATTTAAGAGTTACTTGTTTTCTGTTTTCCAGGAAGCCCAAATCATCACCCTTCCACCGCCATGCTTAATAGATGACATGATATGTTTTTGCTCATATGCTTTGTTTGCTTTTTCACCAAACATGGAGCTGTGCATTATGTCCAAAGGACACTGATCAAGATTTCTAGAAGATGCAACTTTGCAAACCTAAGACATGCTGC